TCTAGTCCAACCCCCTGCTCAAAGCAGGACCAATCCCCAACTGAATCATCACAGCCAGGGCTTTGTCAAGCCTGACCTTAAAAACCTCTAAGGAAGGAGATTCCACCACCTCCCTAGGTAACCTATTCCAGTGCTTCACCACCCTCCTAGTGGAAAAAGTTTTTCCTAATATCCAACCTAAACCTCCCCCACTGCAACTTGAGACCATTACTCGTCGTTCTGTCATCTGCTACCACTGAGAACAGTCTAGATCCATCCTCTTTGGAACCCCCTTTCAGGTAGTTGAAAGCAGCTATCAAATCCCCCCTCATTCTTCTCTTCCGTAGACTAAACATCCCCAGTTCCCTCAACCTCTCCTCATAAGTCATGTGTTCCAGTCCCCTAATCATTTTTGTTGCCTTCCGCTGGACTCTCTCCAATTTATCCACATCCTTCTTGTAGTGTGGGGCCCAAAACTGGACACAGTACTGCAGATGAGGCCTCACCAATGTCGAATAGAGGGGAATGATCACGTCCCTTGATCTGCTGGCAATGCCCCTACTTATACATCCCAAAATGCCATTGGCCTTCTTGGCAACAAGGGCACGCTGTTGACTCATATCCTGCTTCTCGTCCACTGTAACCGCTAGGTCCTTTTCTGCAGAACTGCTGCCGAGCCATTCGGTCCCTAATCTGTAGTGGTGCATGGGATTCTTCCGTCCTAAGTGCAGGACTCTGCACTTGTCCTTGTTGAACCTCATCAGATTTCTTTTGGCCCAATCCTCCAATTTGTCTAGGTCCCTCTGTATCCTATCCCTACCCTCCAGCATATCTACCTCTCCTCCCAGTTTAGTGTCATCTGCAAACTTGCTGAGGGTGCAATCCACACCATCCTCCAGATCATTTATGAAGATATTGAACAAAACCGGCCCCAGGACCGACCCTTGGGGCACTCCACTTGATACCGGCTGCCAACTAGACATGGAGCCATTGATCACTACCCGTTGAGCCCGACAATCTAGCCAGCTTTCTATCCACCTTAGAGTCCATTCATCCAGCCCATACTTCTTTAACTTGCTGGCAAGAATACTGTGGGAGACTGTGTCAAAAGCTTTGCTAAAGTCAAGGAACAACACGTCCACTGCTTTCTCTTCATCGACAGAACCAGTTATCTCGTCATAGAAGGCAATTAGATTAGTCAGGCATGACTTGCCCTTGGTGAATCCATCTAAATCCATTTACATGTAAGATAAACAAAGCTAGAAGTAAGGATCAGCATGACTTGAAGTCTGGGCGGTAGGGCTAGCAGGTAACCAACATCCCACGCTCCCACCCAGCAGCAGCAGCTGTAATTGGGCTACTTCCTGTGATCCACAATCCGCAGAGGCTGAACACCACAGGAAATTCCACCTTAAGTGATCTGACTGACAGTGGTTTTAGCAATCCCTTATTAGGGCATTGATCCTATATAAACCCCTGGGATAGAGAATAAGATGGAGAATATCTTATTGCCCTATATAAATCCATGGTACGCCCACATCTTGAATACTGCGTATAGATGTGGTCTCCTCATCTAAAAAAAGATATACTGGCATTAGAAAAGGTTCAGAGATGGGCAACTAAAATGATTAGGGGTTTGGAATAGGTCCCATATGAGGAGAGATTAAAGAGGCGAGGACTTTTCAGCTTGGAAAAGAGGAGACTAAGGGGGGATATGATAGAGGTATATAAAATCATGAGTGGTGTGGAGAAAGTGAATAAGGAAAAGTTATTTACTTGTTCCCATAATATAAGAACTAGGGGCCACCAAATGAAATTAATGGGCAGCAGGTTTAAAACAAATAAAAGGAAGTTCTTCTTCACACAGCGCACAGTCAACCTGTGGAACTCCTTGCCTGAGGAGGTTGTGAAGGCTAGAACTTTAACAGAGTTTAAAAGAGAACTAGATAATTTCATAGAGGTTAAGTCCATTAATGGCTATTAGCCAGGATAGGTAAGGAATGGTGTCCCTAGCATCTGTTTGTCAGAGGATGGAGATGGATGGCAGGAGAGAGATCACTTGATCATTACCTGTTAGGTTCACTCCCTCTGAGGCACCTGGCATTGGCCACTGTCAGCAGACAGAATACTGGGCTGGATGGACCTTTGGTCTGACCCAGTATGGCCATTCTTACGTTCTTGTGTTCTTATGGCATACCAGGAAGTGTCCAGGCAGGAAGGTGGAGATTTAGCTAGTTGTCATAACTTGCTTCTCTGTTCCTCAACCCGTGGAACTGACCTTGACTCTGACTTGGATTCTGACTCCTAATTGACCCATGGGTTCCCAACATGGGCCCTGATACCTGGTATTGACTCAGCATGATTCCTGACTCTGACTCCAGTTTGACTCTTGACACCGATACTGGCTCTGACCCCTGGCTTCAGTTCTGAGATCCCAAGCTCCTGCCATTAGTCCTGTCTATCTTTGCCCAGGATCCTGAGACTATCAAGCTAACCAGTATATCGTCTACAACCAGCAGGGGAAATGAACTCTATTTGGGGATATACTTCAGATGAATACATATCAAAGGCTTATTAGACTATAAAGAGAAGAGGAGAGAACCCCTAAGTTATTCCTCACCTGAACAGTCAAAGAAACCAAGCACTTTCAGCTCTGTGTGTTGGGCCCTGGCTAAAGAATGAGTCAGTCATACTGGAGGAGTGTGGTGAGAAAAACTTCTTTGAACAAGACACTCAAGTTTCTTAAGATAAGTTTTAGTCTTCGAAGTGTCTTTCTACTTTCATTTGCTTGTAACTGTTTCTCTCCTTATTCCTTATACTTGGTATCACTTAAACCTATGTCGTTTTGTTATTTTACTCTGCCCATAAACCATCTCAGTGCTTTGATTGAAGTGGAGAGTTTGTCAAGCCCAGTTAACTTGATAAGCTCTTGTGTACTGTCTCTTTAAAAGGAACAGCAAACCTGACAAGGTTTTGTAGGTGCTCCAGTAAGAGGGGCTGAGCAGTACATAGAGAAAGGTTTTATGGGGAGAACTGGGGGCTGGGAGCATTGTTGAGGTCACCCTGCAAAGAGTAACTGGGTGGAGCAAGGCAGGGTGTGAACTTCAGGCTTGTCTGCTGGCTGTTGGTTTCAGGGCTGTGAGCCAAAGCAGCAAAGCATTTAAGGAACCCAGAGATGCAAGGCAGGTGTTGATTGAACCCCTTACTGGCCTGGGTGAACCCTGAAGCATCACATATGGCTAAGTTACCCATTTCTCTGTGGCTCAGCTCGTCACCTGTACACTGGGGATAGTGACATTTATGTGACTCACAGGGTTGTTCTGAGGGAAAATTGATGAATGTCTGGGAGGTGCTCAGATATTACAGTGATGGTGGCCGTAAGAGTACCTAGATAGTTCAGTTGCTTGATATTTTAAAATGTAGCCAGGATGCTTATTTACTTGTGTATATTTCTGTTGAGGGTGTGTGTACCTTGATGGGTTATCTCACAAGAGAGATTCATATTTGACTTTCAAGGCTTAGAAAGGACGATTATGATCATCTAGTCTGACCTCCTGAATAGCACAGATTTCACCCAGTAATTCTGACATCAAGCCCATCATTTCTGGCCCAGCTAAAGCGTATCTTTTAGAAAGAGAACCAGGAAAGCTAGTTGCATTTTTTTCCAATGGAATGGTTTTTTTTCCCCATCAGAAAATTGAAACACTTTGAAGGAAGTATTGATTTTGTGAACATTTCTGAGAGGAAATTATGAAAATGTTTCATTTTACATTTTTTACTTTTAAATTGCACCACACAACATATCATATCCACAGTCACACATAGACACCCAACACAATCCTTTACCACACATCATCCACATCACACCAAACACATACACAACATACAAACACCTCACCATCAGACACATGCACCATCACATGCAACACCCCACCATCACAGACCCCATACAAAACACATAACACACCACCACTACGCAGATACCAACACACACCACCACGATGTGCCACACCCACAATGCACCATGCAACATAAGAGTGAAAATGGTACAAAGATGCCTTCTTTAAACAAAGGTGAGAAAATCTAACCTTATCTAAAACAAAGCATTTCAAACTTCTCTTAGAATATCACGTCTCAGTCCTTAACTTCAAGGCACTTAGGCCCAGGTCTGCAGAGGTATTTAAGTTCCATTGAAATCAATGGAATTTCAGAGGCATTTAGGGGGCCTAAATGCCTCTGAAGATCTGAGCCTTTAGGATTTGGGCCTGTGACAAAGGAAAGAAAGATTATCCCTCAGGCATAGTGGAGCTGTCTCCTGCCAGAGGAAGCTCATTTGTTCAGGAGACAGTTTTCTCGGTGGTTGATCCGAGACTCTGGACCCAGCTCTGACAGGATCACAAAATCACCTGAACCCTCTTTCTGTTCCACTTGAAAATGACCTTCTAAAACCTGCCTTCACTAATGTAAGCTCATAGGAGGTCATAAAATAAAACCACAAATAACCCTCCATAAAAATCCATATGCACATTTTTCCCAGGGGGAGGGATGGAGAACGAACCACATGTGATGGAAGAAAATTATGCCACTTAATGCATCTCTTTAAGACGCTCTGGTGCCACAGTGATGGGTATAGTATCAGAATTTGTAGGGCAGAGAAGAGGTTAGGAGCTCTTTTCACTAATCGTGCGTGCTTGTGTGTGTGTGCGCGTGTACGTGCATTAAGGTACCTGTAAATAACCTCCCATTTATCCTCCTGGATTTCAGAGGAAAGTCTGGAGTCTGGATTGGGGGTTAGGGCCCTCTCTGGAGTTAGGAATATTTTGTTGCTGGGTTTCTCACTGTTACCACACCCCTGACAGAACATTCACTCTCAGTGCAGTGCCCCATCCTAGAGCCCGCGATACCTGAGAAGTGACATTTTAACATTATTACGTTTTGGTGATTCAGTCTCCATCCTCTCTCCCTGCTGGTCCCCATGGAGCCACCCAACAGATCTCACGAGAGAAACATCAGCCCTGGAACAGATCTTCAAAAAGGGTTTAATAAGAAAAAGCAAAAATTCACAATGAAGAAATGTTAGGAACAAAAAAGCAGGGAAGTTCCAGACTGACTGATCAATGGGAAGTTACAGGGGAAATCACAGCCCCTGTCTCAGTCACACTTACATGTCTTGCATCTAAACCAACTGCAATAAAAAAAGCTGATTGAAGTAGTTCCCAGGCAGGGATTTTCTCTGATACCCCCCATGGGTGAATGAACATTTGGGACAGAAAGAGTCTAATCATACAGCATTTACATCCTCACAGGATATTTGATCTGAACTCAGCCATTCTTATATTGATGTCCCAGAGGTGCCAATATCAACGTCATCATAACCCAGGTCATGAGGAGGTGGGGACAGGGTGCCCCTCTCAGCCCCAGAGGCCCCTTCACTTCTTAGCGAGTGCAGACTCCAGCCTGAAAATAGCAAAGAGGTCACATTATAGTCAATGTATCCATTCTCCACCCCTGTGCACTCACATAACGGGTGGGCAACATACAGTATGGGCTGTGAATCAGCCCCTGCCCCCAGTTCCTCTGAGTGGGCCTCTGACAAGTTTAATCCATTATCTCTCTCTCTGTTCTTCAAAGAAAACATGTGGGAATAGATTCTCTCTGTGCTGAGACCTCCCTGGTGCAGGAGAAGTGTGGGGTTGGCAGTGAGCTGGTGACAACTCCCTGATAGACCAGTAGGTGCTGCTGTAACTGCTGACAGCTGATATAGTCCCTAAGGGACCACACGCCAGCAGAGACTTCGTGGCTGGAGTAGGGTGGGGGCCCTATCCCAAAGGACATGCCTGAACCTCATAGATCTTGTCTGCCCACACAATGCTTGTTTGCATGTTATTGCCATCAAGACCAAATAAATGCACATTTCAAACCTGATTTCAAACCTGAAGCTGGGCCAGTAACCAACCCCACAGCAGGGCCCTGCTCTTCCCATTTCTATCCAGGGCACTGATACCTGGTTTGGGGAAAGGAACTTTGGCCGTGATCCTCCCAGTGGTCACATGTAACTCTGCTGATTTGGACAGTCCCACTAAAGTCAATGAGACTATTCATATGAGTAGAGTAACAGATGGGGTCTAGTATTTGTAGGATCAGGGACCTTATCTAGGAAATCTTCTCTCTTTCTTGGTTTAAGTCCATTTAACTCTGCTTAGTAAAGGTCAGGGTGGGGATACACCTGGGAGTTTACCAATAACTGTATTTCAGTGCAGTGACAGTGACCTCTAGTGGCCAGTAAAGGCTCTTCCAGGTGAGTAACCACAACAGAGATCCCAATACACAGGCCCAACAATCCCATCTGGAATTTCTATCTCAAACGTGTCTGCTTACAGAGACAGGGAGAGGAGACTCCTCACAACCATCGCTTTGGCCAGGGTCGCTTCCTTGCTGCATAACGCACATTCCCACCTGGAGATTGTTCCTGTGGATCAATCACTGGGAAACATAGACCTTTCCAGCATTGCCAACCCCAAGTGTTCAGAAATGAGTGGTCAGGCCTCAAATATCTTGAGTTTGGCTTACAAATAATGAGATTTAAACATTTTTTTGGTTCATTTCTCAGTTTTGTCTTGTGGTTTCTGAGTCTTTAGGTTAAACTCTAGAAACTGAAACTTTTAGAAAAACAAACATCATGGGGCTAATGAAAAAAATTGTGACAATTGGCAACATTGCATTTTCCCACTCACCAGTCTGATCATCTCTGTTCCTGTCACTGTCCTCATGGGCCCCAGTGACTTCCTGGGCACTCGGTCCAGAAGCAGGGTCATCTTCAGTGTTAGAAACTTCTCTGGCTTCATCATAACCGTCCCATGGGGCACTTCCAGGCAGGGCAGGGACCTCTGAAATAAAGATGGTAATTAATCATAATGAAAAGGGGCTTTCCACTGAATAGAGAAATAAACTAGATGCCTGGTGTGGAGAACAAGGGATTTATGTATATTATTTCTTATGAATGTAATATACACCTCAGTTTACCTGTTTGATATTATCCTGCCAGACTGCTTAGAGTTAAAAGAGTGCAAGGGACTATTTCGTCAGGCCCTGGTGACTGGAAGACATCTAACTTGTCTAAGTAATTTTTTACTTGTACTTTCCCTATTTTAGCCTCTCATCCTACCTCATTTTCACTGGCATTTGCTATGTTAGATGTCCATTTGGAACTAAACTTTTTGGTGAAAACTGAAACAAAAAAGTCATTTAGCACTTCAGCCATTTCCACATTTTCTATTATTGTCCCCCTCCACCCATTGAGTAATGGGCCTACCCTGTCCTTGGTCTTCCTCTTGTTCCTAATATATTTGTATAACATTGTCTTGTTACCCTTTATGTGTCTAGTTAATTTAATCTCATTTTGTGCCTTGGGCTCTCTAATTTTGCCCCTACATACTTGTGTTATTTGAGGGGAGCTGTTTATTGTGGAATGCCCATCTCTGGCTCCAACCAGGCTAGTCTGGTTAATTCTTCCCAGCCCTGAGCTCAGGATCAAAGGGCAGACTAGAAAATGAAGGGGGGTGGAGCAGCAGTAGCCATGGAGTAATGTTTTCAGGAGATGGATTCACTGCTCACCTTGACCGTCTGGAGTCCGGGGAATGTCGCTTAATGCAGGTTCCTCCACATTATCGTAATCCAGCTGAGAACCACCAGGGAAAGCTCCCTCTGGAACAGCAAACAGCACACTCAGCATCTCCTGAACACACCCATTTCCCCAGTAGGTTTTTAGTTCCCCATTAAAGACCTGTTGCCTTGGAGTTTGGGCTGTTTATCATGGAGTTTGTAGGAGAAGTCACAGGGTGAGCCAGGGTCAAAGTCATGGACAGTGTATGAAACAGGAATTTTGCCACCTTTAGTTCCTCATAAATAAGAAGGGCCCAGCCCTGTCCTACTGTATCCAATAGCAACTTTGTCATGCGCTTCAATGGGATCCAGATCTGTGCTGGTGAGGCACTAACCCTGGACATATTGGAAGACAGAAGCTGCCACACCAGACACAACAGTTGTGAATCAAACTGAACTCTAAAAAGACATGCTTTAAAGTCTCTGCTCCTGGGGGAATTCTGTGCTCCTGTGAGCGTGCAGAAAAACACCCCCACAGATTCTCTTTACTTTCTGCAGAAAATGGTTTCTGTGGGGAAGCAATGAGAAACTGCACCAGTGTTCACTCACTTCTCCGCAGCAGAGCTCAGGCTTGTCTCTTCAGTCAGCTGTCAGAGAGGCAAATCACTTTCGGGGGCAGGGGGTGTCTGGGGATTCCACGGCCGACCAGGGATGTTAGTCCCAGCTGGGTGGCGGGGGGAGGAGGAGGACGGAGATGGAGTTCTACCTCCCTCTCCCCTACATGGAGCAGCTGGAGCTGGGTCAGATCAACCCCCAGAAACTTCCCCTGGCTGCAGAAAACTCTGCACCGTGGTTGGAGGTGGGACTTGGAGGGGAGGGGTCTAGATGTAGGAGATGAAGCTGGGTGGGGTGGGGGGTCCAGGTGTGGGGGGAATGAGGTTCAGTGTGTGTGTTGGGGTATTGGTTGCAGGGGGGATGGGCAGATGAGTGGGATGGGAGGACGGGGGAGCAACTCCCTGTATAGTGACCCCTCCCCCCTGCACCCAGAACCCCCCAACCAAGCCCCTGAAAGCAAATCCACACCCCCCCCAGCCTCACCCCCTGCATCAAGAGCCCCCCTCACACAGACCTCCCTTCACCCAGAATCCTCCATTGAGCCCCCTCTGCACCCAAATCCCCACCCCCTCTGAGCCTCATCCCCTGCACTGGGAGCCCATTGCTTCTTGTCCTATCCACACCCGGACCCTCATCCCACTGAGCCCCAACCAGTTGCACCTGGACCCCCCCACCCCACCAAGCCCCACTCCCCCATCACCCAGACCCCCGCTCCACTGAGCCCTAACCATCTTCATTGGGACTCCCCTGCAGAGTCCCATTACCCCTACACCCAGAACCCCACACCAAGCCTCTGTGCATCTAGATCGCACTCAGACCCCCCACCAAGCTGCTTGCACCCAGATTGCGCAACACAGAACCCTGATACTCTTGAGGGAACTATGCACCAAAAAAAAAATAAAAATTTTAAAATTGTGTAAAGTTCATATTTTATTTGTCAAAATAACACAGTAACACAATAACAATATAATCACATGCTTTTCAATTACTTTGGTAATTTATTTCGAAATATTTGTCAGCATATAATTTAAATGGTGTGATTATATTGTGTTACTTTGACAAATAAAATATGCAGAATTTTGCAGAATTTTAAAATATTGTGTGCATAATTTTTAATCTTTTGGCGCAGAATTCCCTCAGGAGTAAGTCTCTTGCCTTATAAGGGGCAGAATATGACATGGGCTACATGCTCATGCTGGAGAGGCAGAGGGCTAAGATCATGGGGCACAGATCAGGAACTGTTTAGTGATAGGTGCCAGCTGTTAAATTCAGATTCTTACATGCCAAGTGAATATTTCTCTGCCCTATTCTCTTCAGTTTCTACCCTGGGGGAGGGCACCATGAGCTATGCAGAGAAAGGGTCAGGATTTGATCATACATTTCCATTAAGAGTTTGGACACAAATCTTTGATGTGGAATTTAAATTCCCCACCTAGATGTGGGTGTCTGTCTTTGTATTCACCCCCCTCCCTTGTTACCTTCTTCTGATGCAGAATCTTTTTCCCCCTCACTATCCCCGGTGTAATACCGCAGCTTCGCCACTGAATCATCTGAAAAGGAGACTGGAGAGATGGTAAATGGGATGTTATCACAGTGACAGCAGAGAAATTGGCTGATGGGCAATGCTTCCAGGTCCTGGAGCAGGATTTATGGTCTTGGTATTTTGCTTCTTCTAGAGAAGATGTTGAATTCACAGCAACTGGTGCTGACTTTCCAAGAGAAATATCCATTTTTTTTGTGGGAAATGTGGCTTTGGGGTGGATAAAATCAGACTGGGAAGATGCTGGGAACAGCCATATTGACCTCATGAGGCGAGGGAGGGACTGAGTGAGCGCTTTAACATGGGATCCTCAACTGCTGTGGGTTTCATTTGAATCATTCTCATTAACTGGGGAGCCTGTTTTCATTCACACTCAGGCTGTAAGAATCTGTTTAGAGAGGAATGTTTTTTTCCCTCCTCCTGAATGTTGCTACTTCATGGCCTGGTCCAGCAGAAAATCATGGCTGAGGCTGCTGATCTTCGGAAGGTCCAGACCTCCACAGCCATGGACGTGACTCCCACTTTGTTAAGCAAGATATTTCCCCTCCCCTGCCTTGCTGCCAGAGTAGACCATGTCCCTCCAAGGGTCAAAGCCTGTGGTCTACTCCCGCTCTTAGTAAATAGAAGAATATGGATCTCAGAAGTAGCCTCAAGGAGACACACTGACCATGCTCAGAGAGCCTGACAATGTGCTAAACTAAGAGCAGAATCTTCCCAATTGATTGATATTGAGTCAAAATGGTGTAAACAGACAGGTTGCTGACCCATAACTAGTTACCCTTCAAGGCTATAGGATGTACAGATGGGACCGACTGTCCTCAGAATGGGGCTAGAAGAGTCTGCTTGGGAGGAAACTCATTCGAGTCCAGTAACTGGCAGATCTCTCCACAGACTCAGTGCCCGCAGCCATCCAGGACTCACAGGGTGGAAGGCTGCAGATATTTATCTCTGAGTCAAGAGTATTAGGATGGAAAGTGCATTGGAGATTTGCTCCCTGTTAGGAATGACACACAGACCTGAGCGACCGAATATCTGCTTCTTTCTCATCAGGTTATAATCAATCTCTTCATACACGGCCTCAGAGAAAGGGTCCAGGGATCTTCTGGAGTCTGAAAACAAAGGGCAGGGTCCACACAGAGTTAGAAACTAGGGATGGGAAACCCTATGAGATCATCCAGCCCCTCCTCCTGGGCCCAGCGCAGGACTGGTCCCTACAGCACATTCCCACTGCTCTGTCCAATCTAGATTTGAACTTCCCAGATGACAGGGACTATGCCCCTTTGATGTTTGTTCCATTGGGTATTTCACTGTCATTAATTTTATTTTGATATTCAGCCTTTATGGTCCCTTGATAAATTTGTCCTGCAACTCCTAGTACCACCCAAAATCATACCTCTTCCATCCTGGTGCTTACACCTATGGGCAAAACAGTACTTACATATTTATGTACTGCCTAGAGACTATCTGGGGAATAATTAGCTACTATTGTGCAGTGCTTTAACAATGCAAAGTGCTATCTACATAAGGGTTCATCCACACTGCAATCTGGAGGTGTGATTGCAGCACTGCATGAGTAAACACACCTGAGCAAGCAGCTTTCACTGCTAATTGTTATGCCACCTAGGTTTCAGGTACTAGCATGACTGGCTACAGAGCTTCCCTTCCAGAGAGATACTCGCTGCTTGTGTACATCATAAGATCTTTTAATACTCTGACAGATATAGCTGATGATAGCTGAAACAACTTATGTTACACACAGTGCCACCTAGTGTTTGAACAGTATAATACAGTTAAGCATACCTTTAAGTATTCCACTTTAAGCCCTGGTCTACACTAGAGGGCAGGATCGATCTAAGTTACACAACTTCAGCTATGTAAATAAGGTAGCTGAAGACGACATACTCAGATTGACTTACCGTGGTGTCTTCACCGCGGTGAGTCAACTGCTGCTGCTCCCCCATCGACTCTGCCTGTGCCTCTCGCGGCAGTGGAGTACAGGAGTTAATGGGAGAGCGCTTGGGAGTTGATTTATCACGTCTAGTCTAGACCCGATAAATTGATCCCTACTGGATCAATCGCTGCCCGCCGATCCGGTGGGTAGTGTAGACATACCCTAAGTTCTACATTCCTACCATTTACAAAATTTAAACTGTCATGCTATCATTGTAGGTCAGTATGAATCAGTCTATTAAGTGTCTCTCAATCGTACTTGTTTTCTAATTACCCGACCCAAGCACATAACAGCATGGTCATCCGGCTGTACATTAGTTGCAATAACTGGCTACAGTTGGCTTGGAATCCTTGAATCTTCTTCTTGTTATGCATCCACCATCTGTAGAGTTTGGTTTGTTGATTGTTGTTTCTGAGGAATAAACTGTAGGTATTGATGGTTTCTGTTGAACTCTCCACTGTTGGTCACAATCACATGTGATTTGGGTACCAAATTATTTTTCTTTGAGACAGCTGGAGTTGTCCATTCTTTTCCTCCACCCAATTTGGCATGAACACAGTCACCAGATTCTAGACTCCACAATTCTCTGAGTAACATCTGTTTTAAGAGTGTTCCTAAGCTCTTTTTGTCTTTTTATCCAATTTGGCTACTCTCTTCATGGCTGAACACTTTGGAGATAGATTCTTTTCTAAAGTTGGAACTGTAGCTCTGAGTTTTCTTCCCATCATGAGTTGTACTGGACCACATCCAACAGCTGCTATCCCCATATTGACTGGGTAAATGCCACCATAGGCTGGGATGCAGAGACAAAGTTTCTTAACACTTTAAATGACTGCTTCTTGGAGCAGCTAGTCCTGGAACCCACAAGGGGAGGGGCACTTTTTTATTTAGCCCTAAGTGGAGCACTGGTCCAAGAGGTGAATATAGCTGGACCGCTTGGTCCATAGTGACCATAATATAATTAAATTAAATATCCCTATGGTGGAGAAAACATCACAGCAGCCCAGCATGGTAGCATTTATTTTCAGAAAGGGGGATTATACAAAAATGAGGAAGTTAGTTAAGCAGAAATTAAAAGGTACGGCACCAAAAGTGAAATCCCTGCAAGCTGCATGGCAACTTTTTAAAGACACCATAATAGAGGCTCAATTTAAATGCATACCCCAAATTAAGAAACAAAGTAAGAGAACCAAAAAAATGCCACCATGGCTAAACAAAGTAAAAGAAGCAGTGAGAGGCGAAAAGGCATCCTTGAGAAAGTAGAAGTTAAATTCTAGTGAGAAAAATAGAAAGGAGCATAAACTCTGCAAGTGAAATGTAAAAATACAAGTAGGCAGGCCAAAAAAGAATGTGAAGAACAGGTAGCCAAAGACTCAAAAAGTAACAGCAACATTTTTTTAAAGTACATCAGAAGCAGGAAGCCTGCTGAACAACCAGTGGGGGCCACTGAACAATTGAGATGCTAGAGGAACACTCAAGGATGATAAGGCCATTGTGGAGAAACTAAATAAATTCTTTGCGTCTGTCTTCATGGCTGAGGATGTGAGGGAGATTCCCAAACCTGAGCCATTCTTTTTAGGTGACAAATCTGAGGAACTGTCCCAGGTTGAGGTGTCATTAGAGGAGGTTTTGGAACAAATTGATAAACTAAACAGTAATAAATCACCAGGACCAGGTAGTATTCACCCAAGAGTTCTAAAGAAACTCAAATGTGAAATTGTGAACTGTTAACAGGGCTATGTAACCGATCATTTAAATCAGCTTCTGCACCAGATGACTAAAGGATAGCTAATGTGAGACCAATTTTTTTGAAAGGCTCCAGAGGTGATCCTGGCAATTACAGGCCTAACTTCAGTACTGGGCAAACTGGTTGAAATGTTAGTAAAGAACAGAATTATCAGACACATAGATGATTTGTTGGGGAAGAGTCAAAATGTGTTTTCTAAAGGGCAATCATGCCTCACGAATCTACTAGAATTCTTTGAGAGCGTCAACAAGCATGTGGACAAGGTGGATTCAGCGGATATAGTGTACTTAGATTTTCAGAAAGCCTTTGACAAGGTCCCTCACCAAAGGCTCATAAGCAAAGTAAGCTGTCATGACATAAGAGGGAAGGTCCTCTCATGGATCGGTAACTGGTTAAAAGAAACGAAACAAAAAGGTAGGAATAAATGGTCAGTTTTCAGAATGGAGAGAGGTAAATAGGGCTGTCCCCAGGGGTCTGTACTGGGACTAGTACTATTCAACATATTCATAAATGATTTGGAAAAAGGGGTAAATGGTGAGGTGGCAAAATTTGAGGAGGATACAAAACTACTCAAGATAGTTAAGTCCAAAGCAGACTGCAAAGAGCTCAAAAAACTGGGTGACTGGGCAACAAAATGGCAGATGAAATTCAATGTTGATAAATGCAAAGTAAGGCACATTGGAAAACATACTCCCCACTATACGTATACAATGATGGGGTCTAAATTAGCTGATAGCACACAAGAAAGATCTTGGATTCATTGTGGATAGTTCTCTGAAAACATCCACCCAATGTGCAGTGGCAGTCAAAAAAGCAAACAGAATTTTAGGAATTATTAAGAAAGGGGTAGATAATAAGACAGAAAATATCATATTGCCTCTATATAAATCCATGGTATCCCCACATCTTGACTACGGTGTGCAGATGCGGTCACCCCATCTCAAAAAGGATATATTGGAATTGGAAAAGGTACAGAAAAGGGTAACAAAAATTATTATGGCTACGGAACAGCTGCCATATGAAGAGATATTAATAAGACTGGGACTTTTCAGCTTGGAAAAGAGATAACTAAGTGGGAGATATGATTGAGGTCTATAAAATCATGACTGGTGTGGACAAAGTAAATAAGGAAGTGTTACTTAGTTCTTCTCATAACTCAAGAACTTGGGGTCATCAAATGAAGTTTATAGGCAACAGGTTTAAAACAAACAAAGGGAAGTATTTCTTCACACAACTCACAGTCAACCTGTGGAACTCTTTGCCAGAGGATGTTGTGAAGGCCGAGTCTATAACAGGGTTCAAAAAAGAACTAGATAAATTCCATGGGCAGGGATGGTGTCCCTAGCCTCTGTTTGCCAGAGGCTGGGAGTGCGCATCAGGGGATTGATCACTTGGTTGCCTGTTCCGTTCATTCCCTCTGGGGCACCTGGCATTGGACACTGTTGGAAGACAGGATACTGGACTAGATGGACCTTTGGTTGATCCATTATAGCCATTCTTATGTTCTTATGGCACAAAATTGTCACCAGTTTCTAGACACAGTAGTTCTCTTACTGAGTGACAACTGTTGTAAAAGTGTTCTTAAGCTCTTTTTTTACTTTTTTAATCCAATTGGCTATGCTGTTCACGTCTGGCCACTTTGGAGATAGATTCCTTTCTAAACTTGAAACAGTAGTTCTGAGTTGTCTTCCAATCAGGAGTTGTTCTGGACCACATCCAGTAGCTGCTATTTATGCTGATCTGTAACTCAGAAGAGCAAGGAATGGCTCTTCCTATTGCAGGATTTTTTGGCTGTCTGTACAGCTCTTTCAGCCTCTGTATTTGCTTGTGGGTAATGTGGACTGCTAGTAATATGATCATACTCATATTTTGTTTAGAATGACATTTTCCTGAAGTGAATTGTGGTCCATTGTTTATCACTAGTTGTTCTGGAATACCGAAATAAACAAAAGTGAATTGTAGTTTTTCGATAACACTGTGAAATGTTTTGTCTTTCAAGTACATTATTTCTACATACTGGGAAAAATAGTCCACTACAATCAAGGAATGATGTCCTCTGAATTTGCATAAACCTGCAGCTAGCTTCTTCCAAGTTCTGTCTGATATTTGTACACGGTATAGTTCAGCATTGTCTCCTGAGTTTATTTCTACTGGATCGCCTTTCAAAAATCCAGTATCAACAAATCCTTTGTGAAGCTCTTCCACCTTTCTCACTAGGCCCATCATGGCTGCCACACGGAGGCGGAGATGGTTGTTGACCTTTGATACTTTGATCACATGCACTCTGAATGCAAAGCTTTTGTATTGGTAAGTTGTTTCTGTGGTAAACTGTCCCATGCAATCAGAATGCCTCCAAGGCTAGTCAGAGCTGTGTCAGGTTACTTCAGCTCTGGGATGGGCTGAAGGTTATTTTAAGTTCCTTCTGAGATGACTGTGGCATTTGCTCTTGAGTCAATTTTAAAGTCAACAGCCTTTCTCTGAATATTCAGTTTCACTCTCCAGACAGGCTCCATATCTTCACACATGATTAGGGCCCTACCAAATTCAAGGTCTATTTTGATAAATTTCATGGCCACAGGGTTTTCAAATTGGTCAATTTCTCATTTTCAGCTGTTTACATCTGAAATTTTATGGTGTTGTAATCATGGGGGACCGAACCCAAAAGATACCTTGAAGTGGGTCTGATCTCCCTTGCTCCCCCCAGCCCCAGAGCTGCCATGCAAGGGAAGGACAAGTCCTGTCCCTTCCCAGCCTAGCATGGACTTGCAGCTAGGAGTCCCCCGATTGGGGCACTTTCAGGAGCAGGGGGATATTGGACCCACCTCTACAAGACTCCTCCAGCTGCAGGAACCTCCAGAACTGGAGCTTCCTGCAGTAGGAGGAGACACTCCGAGGTGGGTCTGATCTCCCCCTGAGAGAGAGAGAGCAGATGTGCAGGGGAAGGACAAGTCGTCTCCCTCCCAGCCCAGCGAGGGTGCTGGGGTGCTCTCAGCTGCAAGGGGGAGATCAGATTTCATGGGGAAAGGTTTATTTCACGGTCTGTGACACATTTTTCACAGCCGTGAAATTGGTAGGGCCCTACACATTATAGATCTCAGAAACAATGGCTCTTGATTGTAATACGAATCAACTCCCTGACTACTTTGATGCAGCAAACAACAGCAAAATGTGCATGTTTTGTGCATTTATTATACCCTGAGCCTTTGGGTGGACATTCCTTATCTCTTGGGATATGAATTTGTCCTTATCTCATGCATTTAGGCTATAAGGCTTTTGTAATTGCTTAGATTTCAACCTTCTTAGCCTGGGAGTTCTGTCTCCTTACCTAAGCAGTCTTATGGTAATTACTTGCATTTATTAACAGCTTCTAAGCTAGTTTCTTGTTTTTCAAGTTTGGCAAGTTGCTCTGGGTTTTGCTGTCTAATCAACTCAGACTGCTTTTCTTTTTGAATAGCAGTGTGTAGGGTGAAGTCTGTTTTTAATTGTAGCTGCTGTGAAAGATTTTTATCTGTTAACCCAATAACCACTACTAGCCTGTCTCTGATATTTTCATATTTTGCTGTTCCAAAATCACAGTTTTCAGCCAATGCATGCAGAGCTCTAATAAACCATTCAACATTTTCCCCTAGTCCTTGAATTCTCTGGTGAAAACATGCACTTTCATAAACCACATTTCTCTGAGGTATAAAGTATGCATTAAACTTATCCAAAACCCTTTCATGGTTGTCTTCATGGCTGTCTTGATTAAAATCATAGGATTTAAAGTTATGCTCTGCCTGCTTCCTCATAGCATAAATTAAAGAGTATACTTGTATACCTTCAGTTTCCTTACAGAATTTTGTAGCAATTTGAAATCTTGCAAAATGCTACTTCTCATCTGTCCACTGTGAAGGTTTATCTAAGCTGAAGTTGTCTGGGGCAATGAAGAGAGGGATATTGATGAGATCCTGCAACCTCTGTTCTTTTTTTTTCTGTCTGCAACTTTTGTTGCTGTTCCTTCTGCATGTAACTTCTGTTGCTGTTTTCCATCTGTTCTTGTTCTACTCTGGAACTGCTGAACTTTGGACACCATGTCATGTACACCCTTTACAAGTAGGTGGCAGGGCTGCTATTAGCTGGTCAGGCTTCTGTACCACTGATGGACCGGCTATAGAGCTTCCTTCCTAGATAGATTCACGCCAGATGTGTTCTCTATAAGATCCCTTTAATTCTCTTCATGGCATGGCTGAGGTTAGTTTAAATAAATTGCGACACACAGCGCCACCTTGTAGCCGAACAGTATAATACAGTTTAGCCTTCCATTACACTGCTAATGCCCCTCTCCTCAGCTATAGCTCCGCCTGCTATTGCAGAGGCATTTCACACCGTGACACCAAGCAGGACCCACCTCTGCGCTCTGCCCTGGCACTTCGCACCTGCGCCCCCAGGATGATTAAGACCAGGCAGAGCAGGGCCCCCAGGATAATGCAGATGACCACGGGCACCGTGACTCTCCCACTGTCGGTCGGAGGGCGGCGCGGGGGAGCTGGATGGAAATGAACATGCAACAGAGAGAGATTATCATGAGAGTCAGGGGGGGCCCCAGGGAGCTCCCCAGTCACTCATTGCATGGCTCATGAGACCAGGGTAACGGGCTGGGACACAGTCTGTGTGCCATGGGGGCAGCTCACAGACTGCTGTTTAAATCATGGGCTCTGCCCTGTCAGCTGGAGTCCTGCCCAGCACCCGGGTATCATTCACCCATAGATTTCACAGGCCGTGGAAAGGAACTCCTTTCCTCAGGCTGCAGCTTGCAGTTCCTCCTCTGTGACCCAGCACCAGGTAAATTTAACCCTTGATAAGGAAGGGGATAGATGTTTTACCTGTTCTAGTCAGTGAATCTGTCGTCTCTGTCACACCTGTAAAGGAAAAGGGAGGAGAGTTAGAGTCTGGAGTGAGGGGGAGGTGACGTGTTTGTTACCAGGAGAATGGGCCCTCTGAGAGTCCCTGGGGGTCTCCAGCTGTGACCTGTTCTGATTCCCAGAAACTCCTGCACAGGAGCATAGGGCCTGTATGATAGAGATTTTGGGCCCAACTTAAGTCCCCTGTGCTGAGAACACTAGTAACAAACCAGCACATTGGGACTTATGATGGATACAAGGGCTATGTGGGCTGATGCCTTAGCCAATCTTACCCAACAAAGATTCCACCTCACAGAATCCATGATGCTCCTGCACACAGGAGATGGGAGGGCCTGCCCTGTGACCAAGGCGGGGAGGCAGTTGTATCCATCCCTTCTGCGAAAATTACAGCATGAAGCAGAACCATCTCCTGTCACTCACCTGAACAATTAACAGCAGCATCTTCCTTATGATCACAGTTACTCTCACCCCAGGGCTTGGCAGGACAGTCCCAGAGAGATGACTCTGTCCCTCTGCAATTCAACTTCTCCACCCAGATGGGACCAGTCCCCTCACCGAATGCAGCCTCGCCCAGGGCAGATACAGCAGATCCACAGCCCAGTTGTTCACACACAACTTTAGCATCTGCCATGTCCCAGGAGTCATCACAAACTGTTCCCCAGGAGCCACGGTACCAAACCTCCACTCTCCCTGAGCATCTGTCCTCTCCTCCCACGACACGTAACTTCTCCTGATCTGGAAATGCAGAAACCTCACATGTTACTGGGACAGCTGGGAAAGTCCTTCGGGACCAAGAGTGAGACAGTGAGAAGCAGAGATACCTGTACAGCTTGTAGAGTTCGGGCATTCGCTAAACAGGGTCTGAGGTGTTTTTTCTTTTATTCCTATGGATAGAAAATTATGACATGAACAGACTGAGAAGTGTGTGGGATGTAGGAGAGAGTAGGGTTATCGGTATATTAAACCTCTAAATTACAGCAATTTCATAAGCTTAAATCTAAATCCCCAGGAGGAGGTAGTGGGAAAGCTGGTCGACACAGAGAACAAAGAGATAGCAAGAATATTAGGCAAGTGCTTAGGGAAATGCAGCAAAGTACGGAATGACTGCTGACTAGAGGGTCCCTCAGCCAGAACCCAGAGTAGAGCCGGGGCCCAGATTCCCCAACCAGCCACTGGGGAAGTGGCACCATAGGAAGACTGGCTAAGCCTGTTTGGGAGAAGAGACTCCCCTCGCCCAGAAGTGCAAACCACAATAGTGACCTAGCTGGAGGGCTGAGTCACAAAGAGACCACAGCGGCTCCTGGATCAAGAGAGCAGCTGCAGACAGAGAGACAAGATGGAGGGATGGTTTGCAACCATGGGGAGAGGCGCTGACCTGGCAAGCAGGACAACCAGGAGGAGGCACCATATTGTGGTGAATAGAGCACCCCCATCATACCTACACACAGACACACTTTTGGGGAATTCTGATCCTGACCCAGATTTCACAGGCAGAGTTTCAGGAATCAGCACCTGAAGCAGAGCAGTCTCCAGGCAGCCTAACAAGTGCAGCTGACCTGTAGTGGGTTGCCTGATTGGTGGGAAGGGTCTGCAGCGCAGCTCTTGAATCCAGCAGCCACAGTAGCCATTCAGCGACTGCTCAAAGCATTTCCCACAGCTGCAATACCTTGTGCTCCTGCCTTGTTCCCAGCCTTGCTCTTGCTCTCACTGCAGACTTATCCCGGCCTTGCCTTGCTCCAGGTAACCCAGTCCTGACTCTCACCTCTGATTCCTGACTTCTGACTTTGGCTCTGACCCTTGGCTCCGAGTTCCGACTACCAGCTCCTGCTCTACCCATTGTACCTGACTCCTGCTCCAACCACTCACCACAACCGCCTATGTCCTGGTCACTGACACTGGGCCCATCTCTGATTCTTTAGCCCCAAAGGATAACCACAGAGATTACCGAATGATGCTAGCTAATAGGAGGCATTTGTGAGCTCTCACTAGGTGATTACACTGTGTACCACACAGCTTGTATAAATAACTAATTCCCCAGTTTGTTTTCCATGGGCCTCATTCTCATTCCTAGAATGGACAATGAAAATATGTCTGTGTCACTGCTGAGAATGTAAAACTGTCTATTCTGAAAAGTAATCACACACTTTCAATGAATTAAACACGTAGAGGGTGCATGTGTGCGTGCGTGCAGACAGTTTCAAAATTACCACTGCAAGAAATATGGGTCTCTTCTGCTCGGTTATCACAGGATTGCTGTTTCCACAGGCCTGACGGGCACTGCCAAAGGGACCTGTGCTGCTCACTGCATGAAACATGGTCCAGCCACGTGGGACCAGAACCTGCTCCATATGCCAAGTCTCTTGCAAGCTGCCCTCCATCCCCACAGTTCAGCTGTTTGCAGACAATTGCTGGGGTGACTCCAGACATCTGATTGGAGCAAACACTGCCCCACGTCCCATTGTAGAAAACCTCCAGTCGCCCAGCACAGTCACTGTCGCTCACCAGCCTCAAATCCGTGAATTCTAGAAGGAAATGCACAAAAAGGGAATTTAAATAATCTGTTTCTGAAAAGAACTGGGGTGTAAAGAGTGAAATCCCAGAGATTCCTAACAATCCTGTGCATTATTTTGCAGATTCAAGTGCCAGAAACAATCACTCCAAGAATCAGAAACTCTTCTGGACACCACAAGCCCATTAGAAATAGAATGATCCCCTCTTGAAAGTCACCATTTCCCAGCAGTTACACACACAGATGCCTGCAATACAGCAGTGACTGCCCTCTCACCACTAGAGAAATGCTTTGATATTTCCAATACCCCTGGGTGGGAACCGATGGGAAATGGTGACTTTTTAATCATGATCCCTGTAGGTTGGGAGGAGAGACAGCAAGGGAGAGTCTCAATCATTCTCAGCTCTCTCCTCAAATATCTTCCCCCTCCATTAAATAGCCTGGTAACCAGGTTCACAAGAGCATTCCCAGACCAGACCTGAACAGAGAATTCCCGCATCCTCTTTGTGTCTGCAGTTGTGCTGGCCCCAGCCTCTGGAAGGACATGCCCAGAGATCGGATTCATTCCCAGAGCAGTTCACATCATCCAGCCAGATCTGCCCGGATCCTTCCCCATAATGAGCAGAGACAGTTGCATTGATGGCATGTCCACATCCCAGTTGTTTGCAAATGACATTGGAGTCTGACAGATCCCAGGCATCATCACAGACCGTCCCCCAGCTGCCACTGTAATAAATCTCCACTCTCCCAGCACAGCGACCTGCCCCATTCACCAGTCTGATCCGCCTGCTTCCTGCAAGGATGAATCCCAGTTGTTAACATGCAATATAATAATAGCTGAACAGCTTCCAGGCAAATTAATGATGATAGTGTAATGGCTGAGATACTGAAATACATTTAAAAATCTGTCTTTGCAAGAAACACAGAAAAGAAAAGAAGCCTGTAATGTAAGGAAATGAGGAAGATTTTTACAGAGCAGTTTTGATAAACACCAAGTGAGTGTAAGGGCCTAATTCTGAACTCTTTACTCACCTGAGTAACCCTTATAGGTATGGACTTACCAAATTCAGGGTCTATTTTGGTCAATTACATGGTCATAGGATTTTAAAAATCATAAATTTCATTATTTCAGCTATTTAAATCTGAAATTTCACAGTGCTGTAATTACAGGGGTCCTGACCCAAAAAGGAGTTGGGGCGGGGAGGGGGGGGGTTTGCAAGTACTGCTACCCTTACTTTTGCACTGCTGCTGGCGGCAGCGCTGCCTTCAGAGCTGGGCAGCTGAAGAACGGCGGCTGCTGGCCGGGAGCCCAGCTCTGAAGGCAGAGCCGCCGCCAGCAGCAGCGCAGAAGTAAGGATGGCATGGTGTGGTTTTGCCACCCTTATTTCTGCGCTGCTGCCTGCAGAGCTGAGCCCTCAGTCAGCAGCCACTCTCCAGCCACCCAGCTTTGAAGGCAGCAGCACAGAAGTAATGGTGGCCTGGTCTGGTATTGCCAGTCTTACTTCTGCACTGCTGCTGGTGGGGTGCTGCCTTCAGAGCTGGGCACACGGCCAACAGCTGCTGCTCTGGGGCTACCCAGCTCTGACGGCAGCACAGAAATAAGGGGAGCGATACCACCCTCCCCCCCAAAATAACCTTGAGACCCCCCTGCAACTCCCTTTTGGTTCAGGACCCCCAATTTGAAAAACGCTGGTCTCCCCCATGAAAGCTGTATAGTATTGGGTAAACACACACAAAAGACCAGATTTTACAGGGGGAGACCAGATTTCACAATCCGTGACACGTTTTTCATAGCTGTGAATTTGGTAGGGCCTATCTTATGGGACTCATCACATGGGTAAGAGGTACTAGTGAAACTAAGGGTATGCAGAATCACCCCTTACTGGAAAGTTTGAATATTTTCAAACTGCTCTTAAAGGATAAGCATCAAGTTGTTCAAGGAATTATTAGGCAATAAATTTAACAAAAAACAAATAGTCTTTTAAATTGTTATAGAATTGGGGAGACACCAGAGGATTAAAAAAAGCAGACATCGTAACAATTTATTTCAGAAATACAGGGAAAGAAAGGCAATTGGAGGCACGAGTCTACAATAAAGTCCCCGACACTTAGGGCCCAAATCTACCCTGCTGAAATCAACTGTGAAGTCCCCACTGACACAATTGGAGCAGGAATGGACCCTTAATGTGCCATAGTTACCCTGCAGTTGGAATGGGCATGAAAAATGATTTCAGTGCAGTAACATACAGTACATGATATAGGGATATGTTACTTGAAGGATACCAGGGATACCAGTGGTATGGTCCTATGTTTACTTTTATTGTGGAGTCTTTAAATAATATACCATCAAAAATAATAATAGAATTCTCTTGTACAATTGTCATCTACAACCAAGAACAATGAAAAAATCCCATCACAGATTCCTTTTTTCCCCTTTTAAATGAAGGAAAATTGCACAGTTATAAGATTAGGACTTAACAATGTCACATTATAACAGCAACTTTGATGTACTTCCTAAGTGACAGAGGCTTAGATCCACAAAGGTACATAGATACCTAACTGCCTCTTTATAAATACATAATGTATAAATCGTTACGTATTTATTGAAGCAGGGAATTGAGTCTCCCCCATTCCAGGCAAGTGCCCTGGCCACCAGGCTAGAGTCACTCTCTTGCTTTTTCTCTGATTCAGTGACCAATTATTTGTACAAAGTGGAACATTTCCAACAGGAGAGACCCACCCCAGCATACTCTATAGTCTATCATAACTAGAGCACTCACCTGTGTTCATGTCCCTGCTCCAAATCAGGAAGAGCAGGGATTTGAACATGGATTTCCCACATTGAGTGCTTTCCCACCAGTTGAGTGCTTTAACCACTGGGTTATGGATAAAATTGGGAGATGAGAGCGCTGACCTGACTTACATGAGTGAGTTCGTGGTTGAGAGTCCTGAGCAAAGATGGGTGCCTATCTCTGACCTGTGTGTCAGGTGCCTAAGGCTTAGATCAATGGCAGTTAGGCATCTAAATAACTCTGTGTATCTAGGCCCTACTCCTTTCCTTGGCATCTCACAGCTGGCAAATTTAGGTGGCTCCCTGTTCAGCTTTCTGGCTTCTGAGGTGTCTAACTCTCCCCATGCATTGTACGGGAAGCTGGGCGCGTGACTCATGGCTGAGGATCTCATTGGGTAGAAAGACACCTAGGAGTCAGACCTTGCAACGCCCAAGTCCTTTGGGGATCTAGCCCAGAGCTACTATCCATGGCAGCCTTGGTCAAAACAGGTTGCATATGACTTCCTTTTCTTACTATTGTTTTCTGATTCAAGACAGCATGTTTTTTTAAGACTTTAACATAAAGAAGCCACTAGATACACTAGAACTGCTCGGGAGATTCATTCTTTATTCCCCACAAAATATTTAGATGACTATGAATATTTTTTTCTTTTCTGCAACTAAATTTAGATTTTTCAAACAAAAATCTGAACATTTTCAATGAAATCAGACATTCTGTGAAAATCAGTGATCTTATTGTGAAGATTTTTCATCAAAATTTTTTTATTAGCTCCAATACATAAAAATATACAACAGAGAGACAGGACTGGGGGAGCTCGCTGCATTTTATTAAACCTATAATGTGGCTATGCTTTTTCTGTATATAATATGATATTTTTACTATAAATCGGCGAAAGTTTGAACCTCAGATCCACATCGCTTCAAGGACTGCTGCGATCACAGCACAGGTGGGGTGGAGGCAGGCCCTGGGGTGCGTTATGTTCCCATTGAACAAGGACAGGATATTTATAAGATTTTCACACAGTCACCTGAGCAAACGACACCAACATCCTCAGCAATTCCTGCCTGGGCTGTCTCAGACGTGGAGATGTCACAGAGAGTCAGACGAGTCTCATTTCCTGCACACTGCACCCTTCTCAGCCCCACGGGGCCCCTTCCTCGCTGAGACTTAGCGGGGTTATAAGCTTTCTCAGCGACTCCGCACTGGAGCTGTCTGCACACCACGCTGGCATCGTCCATGTCCCACTGGTCATCCAACACTCTGCCCCACACACCATGGAAGGAAATCTCAACTCTGCCATCACACCGGCTCTCTCCATTCAACAGCCTGAGCGACTCAGAACGACCTGGGCTCGGAGAGATAGGAAATACACTGAATAAAACTCCCCGCTGGTACTGCATTATAAATAATGCACAGGTGTGTTGTGAAACACAGTTTTCTGTGGCAAGTGGAAGGTAACCCTCACTGCTATGCAGTGATACAGGGAACAACCTATCTCAAGGGCTCCATTTATCTCTCTACTCAGAAATGCAGGGGGTGATGGTGGGAAAGGCTTCCCGAGCTCTGAGGCCATATCTTGTGAGGAGCTGGGCCCCTTCTGTACAATGCAGAGTGCTCTCACTTCTCTCTGGAGTTAATGTGAGTAGAAGGTGCTCAGGAACACCTGGCAGATCAGGTCCCTGGTTATCAAAGTGCCCAGTGCAAAAGGCCCCCATGCCCACACAATGCACTGATATCGGCAGCACTGTGAGATAGCTGTGATTTACAACAGGAGTCTGGGTATTGGCCTATGTCACTGCTACAATTCCCAGATCCAGCACTGCCAGGACATGTGGTTCCTTTAAAGAAAGCCCTGCCCTGTTTTCACTGTTCAATGTACATTGGTGAACTGTGATCACTGCATCAACTCCAAACTCATAAGCAGCTGTCAAGGTTCCTTCCCCACTCTGAACTCTATTCTTACCAGCTTAGGTTAAAACGTCCCCAAGGTACAAACTTTCCCTTGTCCTTGAACCGTATGCCGCCACCACCAAGTGTGTTAAACAAAGAATAGGGAAAGAGCCCACTTGGAGACATCTTCCCCCAAAATATCCTCTCAAGCCCTACACCCCCTTTCCTGGGGAAGGCTTGATAAGAATCCTCACCAAATTGTACAGGTGAACACAGATCCAAGCCCTTGGATCTTAAGAACAATGAAAAATCAATCAGGTTCTTAAAAGAAGAATTTTAATTAAAGAAAAGGTAAAAGAATCACCTCTGTAAAATCAGAATGGTAAATGCCTTACAGGGTAATCAGATTAAAAACACAGAGAAACCCTCTAGGCAAGACCTTAAGTTACAAAAAGACACAAAAACAGGAATATACATTCCATCCAGCACAGCTTATTTTATCAGCCATTAAACAAAAGGAAATTGAATGCATTTCTAGCTAGATTACTTACTAACTTTACAGGAGTTGGAAGGCTGCATTCCTGATCTGTTCCTGGCAAAAGCATCACACAGACAGCCCAAACCCTTTGTTCCCCCCCTCTCCAGATTTGAAAAAATCTTGTCCCCTCATTGGCCATTTTGGGTCAGGTGCCAGCAGGGTTACCTTAGCTTCTTAACCCTTTACAGGTGAAAGGGTTGTGCCTCTGGCCAGGAGGGATTTTACAGCACTGTATACAGAAAGGTGGTTACCCTTCCCTTTATATTTATGACAGGAGCTAACACAATAAAGGCTTTTCTGCACCTGGCAGGCCAGGTCTGCAACTCTCAACTCTAGCTATTGGCTTGGCTGGAGATGATGCTTGGAGGGGTGAGTGACCTCTGGGCAATGGGGAAAAATGTCCCATTTTTCCTAAACATATATGTATACATATATATTTCATTTGAAAAGTTTGTTCACTGTGAGCACATAAAGTTGTTGAAGTTCCTTGTGGGAGAAGCCAAAACCCTTTCAGGTGTTTACTGCCATTGGAGATTTTTTTTATACAGTGTATATGGCACCTTGCATTTCAAAGGAGCCAATGTGCTCCCAAAACATGATTTGTAAGCCAGTTAAAACTTCCTAAATAAATATATATATATATATATATACACAGGTCAGTAGTGATTCATAGCTCAGGATTGGCTTAAAGTTGCACATAAGACAGGGAGTCAACTACTCTTTTCTATTAAAGTTACATAGAATCATAGAATATTAGGGTTGGAAGAGACCTCAGGAGGTCACCTACTGCAAACCCCTGCTCAAAACAGGACCAACATCAACTAAATCATCCTATCCAAGGCTTTGTCAAGCCAGGCCTTAAAAACCTCCACCACTTTCCAAGGTTACCCATTCCAGTGCTTCACCACTCTCCTAGTGAAATAGTGTTTCCTAATATCCAACCTAGACCTCCCCCACTGCAACTTGAGACCATTGCTTCTTGTTCTGTCATCTGCCTCCACTGAGAACAGCCGAGCTCCATCCTCTTTGGAACCCCCCTTCAGGTAGTTGAAGGCTGCTATCAAATCCCGTCTCACTCTTCTCTTCTGCAGACTAAATCTTCTCTTCTGCAGACTAAGTTACGTATGGTCTGATTCTCCCACTAAGGCTCCTTTATACTGAGTAGCTGGGGTTAGTGAGAACTGGACCCAGTCAGTGTACTCTCCCCTCACTTACAGCACAGAATCTCTGGGTCAATGTGACCCACATGCTTTGCACTGCAGCATTTGACTTTTTTTCTCCATCAGGAAGGGAGAGACGCATTGGGGAGGGGACATGGATTGTAGCTGGATACTCTGCGCCTCTGTTACATTGTGGGCAATCAACCTGGCAGGTCACACCCTAGTCACCCTCTGAGGGCTGAGCCAATAGAGTGTAGGAGAAGAGTTATAAATAGCGGAATTAAAGGGCTTGTCCTCACTTGAAAGGTTACAGCGGCACAGCTGCACTGCTGCAACTATACCTCTGTAGTCCTTCAGTGTAGACACTACCTAGGCCAACAGCAGGGGTTCTCCCATTGCTGTAGTTAATCCACTTTCCCAAGACACAGTAGCTAGCTTTATGGAAGAATTCTTTTGTCAACCTAGTGCTCTCTTTACCAAGGGTTAGGTCGGCTTAACCTATGTAAGATTTTTCACACCCCTGAGAGATGTAGCTTGGTCAACCTTATTTTTTGGTATCAAATGCAGCCCTGTGGACTCAGCAGCTGATAGATGAAGGACTGAGAGATCTGTCTGCTGTGAGAGCTGTTTCCAATCCCTGTACCACATTGAATACAGGCTACAGATTTCTGTTTCACCAGCAACTGAGAGCCAGTGAGCTCTTAACCCAAGGGCTGGAACTCTGCTAGCTGCTGAGATCCCTAGACTGATTGGTTGCTGACCAAGTTCTGAAGTGTTTGAAACGACGGAGGTGCTGCCATTTGTCAAACTCAGAAGAATCCAGGTGACACACACACCATGTTATGACTGCACTGCGAAGCCTGAGAAATCACCTCTGAGAGAAGATCAGTGAGGAATGTGTTTGGATGTGTGGGCTGAAGTACAGAACATGATGATAAGTTGAAACCTTATATTTGAAGGTTTGTACCAGAAACAAAAGGGGGGAAGGCTGTACAAGGAAAACCAGTAGACTTACTGTCTAATAGATTTTTTTTTAAGTTATTCATAGTACTCCAAATACTATTTACAATATTTTCGGTGGGCATTAAATGTTTGGTTTACTAAGGCCATGTCCGTACTACAGGTGCTACAGTGACACAGCTACAGCATGCCACCTGTGACGCTGTATCACCGCACTGCGGATGCTTCTTGGAGTGACAGAAGGGGTTTTACTATTGCTGTGGGTAATCCGCCTCTCTGAGAGGTGCTAGCTTGGTCAATGGAAGAATTCTTCTATTGCTGTCTACACTGGGGGTTAGGTTGACACAGCTACAATGCTCAGGGATGTGAAGCCTATGGATCCTATTGATTAAGGCTGGTCAGTGCCTAAATCCTTTTAGAAAATGAGAGTTAGGCTCCTAAATCAGTGCAGCAATGCCTAAATACCTTTAAAAATCTTGGCCTATGCCACTCTGGGTAGCCCTCAGATAACTTGCCATCTATCAGCCACTGTCGTTCTCCGATGTGTCATGAGGAAGTTTTTGAAGTTGGATGAGGGAAAATCTTTGGAGAAGCCTGCAGGAAAAAGGACCCCTGCAGTGTTTGTGTTGCATTGTAGAGGAGGATCTTCATCAAAGCACCAGCTGCTCTCACTAAGAGCAGGATCTTTGTGAAAGTTCCCAGCTGGTTCAGGAGCTAAGCTCTGGAGCCATCTGAACACTTTCCTGAAAACTGGGATCTTTGGCAAAGAAAGGACTATTTCTATGAAGTGTTGTGAGGAATTAAAGATTTATCAATCTACACACCCACTGAGCAAGCTCTGTAGGTGAGGGCTGCAGCCCACCAGCATACAACCCGGGATGGGCAATGGAGGGCATTTTGGCCAGGAACACGAGGGCAAACACCTACTTTCCCAGAGTGAAGTGGGATTGTAATGGCCCCACAGTTTGGATGAGATCTCTGCGTATAAGTTGCTTCTGCAACACCAACCTCAACCTGATGAAGGGCTGAGTCAGCCCTGCTGGGACTGAGGGAATCTGTGAATCACAAACCCCAGGTTTATAGAACAGAGCCATTCTCTTTGGTTCACTCTAGTGTAGAGGTAGGATCCACCTCGCCACCCCTCACTGCACCTGGAGGTTCTCTGATCTGGGGAACCTAAACAAAGAGAGCAACACTCCAATACCCCTACTTACCTTGAGTACTGTAGTCAATGGGACTACTCATGATGATCCTAAGCTGGGCAGTACACTGCACTGTAACTGACATATACATGTCTATATTAAACTTACCTGAACAAGTAACCCTGGCTGTGTCTCTGGGGGAGCAGGCTGGGTTGCCCAGGGCCATGCGAGAACAATCCCACAGACAGGGTTCAGTCCCTTCACAATGAAAAATGTCGCTCCATACGGTTCCGTTCCCTTCCCCGAAATGGGCTCCTCCCAGGATCGACTCGGCGTATCCACAATTCAGCTGATGGCAGAGGACGTTGGCATCTTGCAAATCCCAGTGGGAGGCACAGAGGCTTCCCCATGTGTCTCCATGTCGGATCTCCACTCTCCCGGAGCACTCGGTGCCGTTCACTAACCTGCCACCCGGGCACCCTTAGCACAAGGGAAAGTGAGTGTCGAGGTGGCGCAGTGATCAGTGTTAATGGCAATGGCAGGGCGGGGAGTGGGGAACAGGGAGGGATTCTTGCTCTTATTCAATGCTCGCAGTTACCCTGTGGGGACTGTGGGACTATTCTGCACCTGCATATTCACAAACTGATACTCAATCCACGTCAGTTAGTGCGAAGGGAGGACCAGGGACCAGAATTTGGTTTCTTTGATACATTCCATACTCAAGGCACCACAAGCATTTCACAGAGGGATCAGTTCCAGCAGACTTGGCTGGTGCAGGGACAGGGGGCCAAATTATGGGCCAGGTCCCCACCTGGTGTAAATCAGCATAGCCTCACTGAGCCCAATGGAGCTTGGCAGATTGCCACACTGTGAAGATCTGGCTGAGGATGTTCCCCAATCCTTTTCTTTCCCCCTGCAGCTGCTCACCTGAACACACCACATTGGCTTCGCTCCCAGGGGGACACTCAGCTGTGCCCAGCGCAGTAACAGGACAGTCCCTCAGGCGGGATTCATTCCTCTCACAGCCAAATGTGCCGTTCCAGACAGGCCCCTCTCCTGTGCCAAAGAGCTGCCCTGCTGGCATCGACAGGGCAAATCCACAGTCAAGCTGCTGGCAGAGGGCGTGGGCAGCCTGTAAATCCCACTGGGAGTCACAGAGGGTTCCCCAGGCGCCTCCGTGGAGAAGCTCCACTCTCCCCGAACACGCTGTGCTGCCGTTTGTCAGCCTGTACCCACCGTACCCTGAGAAGAAGGAGAAGGGAGATCAGAGGAGAGAGTGTTTTCCTATGGAAATAATAGTAAGTGAGCACATAATTGAAAACTGTATTGTAATCTACACACACATAGGGATTGCCCAGGCCACATTAACTCTGGCATTTCCTAATTTTCAAGTGCTCAACTTGTAACCTAAGTTAATTTCTTTTAACACAGTGTATTTTGGGGGAGAGGCTGTTTGTAAATAGAATATACAGGACACCAACAAGGGTTAAAAAAAGTAAATGTGGATCAAGAAGTCCAGTTAGCCACTGGGTCCCTGTGTGCACCCCTCCAGCTATGATTCTTCCGAAAAGCCTGAGCTTGAGGCTGACCACCATCTTCCTCCTTCCTCCCAGGGCAAGGCAACACATCCTGGCTGCACGGGGTTTGAAAGTGAACTTTCACTGCCCAATCTAACTCTCTGGCTGGTGTCACTTCACTTTTGTTTTTTCTCCAGATCTGCACCATCTAACTTGCCTTCTCTCCCATTGGATGCCCCTTCTCCTGTGTCACCTGACTGAGCTCACAGCCTGGTCTACCTACCCTGGCCCAGTAACTGAACTCACCCTCCTCACTTCAGCCCTTCTCTTGATGTTCCAAAGCCCTGCAGAGCTGCTGCCATCTTCCCCTGACTCCTGCAGCTAAATCCTTCAACACCTTCTGTGACTGTGAAGATCATCCAGCTCCTGCTTTTGCTCAACAGCCACATGAGTGTCTCAGGGCAACAGCTCTGACTGTGTACTGGCTGCTACTGTCCCACTCACCTGACTGTTCACTACGTCTTCACCTTCAATCTAAATAAACAATTTCCACGTTCCCAAACTGAAATGTTTCCTTTCAGTTTGTCAAACTGACCCCAAGTGTTTTGTTTTGAGTCAGGTTTCAGAGGAACAGCCGTGTTAGTCTGTATTCGCAAAAAGAAAAGGAGTACTTGTGGCACCTTAGAGACTAACCAATTTATTTGAGCATGAGCTTTCGTGAGCTACAGCTCACTTCATCAGATGTTATACCGTGGAAACTGCAGCAGACTTTATATAAACACAGAGAATATGAAACAATACCTCCTCCCACCCCACTGTCCTGCTGGTAATAGCTTATCTAAAGTGATCAACAGGTAGGCCATTTCCAGCACAAATCCAGGTTTTCTCACCCTCCACCCCCCCACACAAATTCACTCTCCTGCTGGTGCTAGCCCATCCAAAGTGACAACTCTTTACATAATCAAGTCGGGCTATTTCCTGCATAGATCCAGGTTTTCTCACATCCCCCCCACCCCCATACACACACAAACTCACTCTCCTGCTGGTAATAGCTCATCTAAACTGACCACTCTCCAAGTTTAAATCCAAGTTAAACCAGAACATCGGGGGGGGGGGGAGGAAAAACAAGAGGAAACAGGCTACCTTGCATAATGACTTAGCCACTCCCAGTCTCTATTTAAGCCTAAATTAATAGTATCCAATTTGCAAATGAATTCCAATTCAGCAGTTTCTCGCTGGAGTCTGGATTTGAAGTTTTTTTGTTTTAAGATAGCGACCTTCATGTCTGTGATTGTGTGACCAGACTAAATCTCCCACCATGCACCTACAGACATGTGGCTATCATGAGGCAATTGTGCCACCAGTTAGAGGGAAGACTGCACTTTATAAGGGGAGATGTTGTCTGGCCAGGGAGCCCAGCCCTGAGGAGAGAACCGGAGCCTGAACTACAACTCCCATAAGGCAATGTGCCGCAGCAGGGAAATGAAGATTAATGTTGAACTGACTGGAAATGAAACATTTTGGGTCAGTTCTACAATCTGAAATATTCCTACCAGGGTTGAACCCAGCCCAAATGAAACATTTCATTTCTATTTTCCCAAAACAAAATTGAAAAAAAAATTAGCAAAATTGAAAGTTTCCCAGGGAAAGTTTTGATTTTCAGGAAACAGCATTTTCAGTTAAACAAAAATTCTGATGAAAAATTCCTGACCATCTCTAGGAATAACTAACTCACTGCTAACTAACTCACCTCACATCTCATCTCATTGCTTATTGATTCACTACTACTGATTTAACTGGATTCCATTTATTATTTCACTGTTCACTTGCTCACTAACCATGTTCATCTGTCTCTTGCCCATGGCTCTTATCACACCTTTTTGTGCATCACAGATCTTCCCTCTTCCTCCCCCAACCCTAAACTCCCCCCACTGGCTCCATTTCCCCATTCTATTACCTTCACCCCTCACAGGTCCCACCAGCTCTACCCGCTTCTCTTCCATTCTGATCTCTATCCCCTTCCCAGCTAGATCCCACATCCTCCTCTGCCTCCTCCTCTTGGTTTCTGGTTACAACTTCTCCAAACCTGGACCCCCCTTCATTCCCATGGTCTCCAACTTCCACGCTCATCCCCATCATCCCCTCTCATGCCACCATTCCTAACCTCATGTCCAGCCCCCCTCCTCCTCTTGCTGTCCCTAGAATGCACACTGCATCACTAAAAAGATCACAGACATCCACAACCTTTTCATCACTCACTCACTCCAGCTCCTGTCTCTCACGGAGACCTGCATCCCTTCATCTGACATTGTCGCTGCAGCTGCTCTGTCTTACAGAGGCCTCTCCTCCTCTCACAATCCCGGCCCTGAATCATCCCCAAAGGAACAAGCTGAGTGTGTTGGACTTCTCTGCTCTCACATTTTCTCCTCCTTTGAGAAGCACTCCAACCTATTCTTCTCTCCTCTCCCCCTCTATGTTACTGCCAGCTACTGCCAACCCAGCTCCTCCCTGTCAGCCTTCCTCTGTGATTTCAGCTCCTGGATCTCTCTCTTCCTCTTATCACAATCTTCCACACTCATCCCTGGAGACTTTATCACCCATGTTAATGGCCCATCTGACTAGAGCTTGAAGGGAAACAATTTTCCTGTTGTGCACGAATGTTTGAGATTTTGATAAATTTTCCCATACTGAACTGGAATGCAACGCTGATATTTCAAAAAATTTCACAAACTGAAAATCCATAATTTTTTTGGATCAGGTCAATTGAAACATTTTTTGGATCAGTTTTCATAATGTCTAAATGTTTAGTTATGATTTACACATTTTAAATTTAAAAAGGCACTATAAATTCACTTTCAAAACAAAAAATCATTTGACACAAAAACTTGAATTTTCCATTTCAAAAATATCAAAATGGGACATTTCAAGAATTTTGAAACTTTTTTACAAAAAATTTGCCAAAACCAACTTTTCCCGCAGTTTGAGTTTTGACAAATTAGTATTTTCCAATGAAAGAAGGATATGTTAAAAAATTTGAAACAAGCTCAATTTCTAACCTCTTAGGTACCCGTCTCCTCACCCTCCCCTCTGCATTGACCTACAGGCCTGGATCAGCTCTCCCACTCCCCTAATGTGACGTTCACTCGACCTGGTCTTCAACTAGCATAGCTCTCTTTTGCATATTGCTGTTGCTGAGTTCCCCCGCTCTGGCCATCACCTGGTCATTTCTAGCATTGCCCATCAGTTTCCTCCCTCTTGCCACATTGTCTGGTCCTTCCTTGATTTCCAGTCCATCAATGTCAATGACCTGCTTAGCCTCTCCTCTCTTTTCTTTCCCGCAGCGACATGGTGGCTGTTTCCTGCACCTTTGACTCTTTAGCCCCACTCTCCCACTGCAAGGTCCGGCCTGCCAACCCCAGCCCAGCCTCACCCCAAACACTCCTACTCACCTGCAGTAGAGCGTCTCTGGTGGAAATCCTATAGCCAGTCTGACTTCCTTCACTACACATTCATGCTCTGCTCCTTCAAATCCGCCATTTTCTTAGCCATGCAACTCTCCTTCTCCACTTTGATTAATTCCCCCACCTGCAATCCCAGCAACCTTTTTGCCATCTTTCACTCACTGCTCAAAGCCTTACAGTCCTGTCTGCACAGGAACTTGCTGATTTGCATTTGGTCAATAGTTTCAGAAAAAAAAAGAAAAAGAAAAAGAAAAAGAAGAAAAAGTCCAAATGGTTCATTTCATCCATTTTGAAATGAAAAAAATTGACTTCTCATTTCAAAATGACATTTTGCTTAGAAATTTAGCTACATTTGTTTTAAAAACCCACAAAAGGGTGAAAAAATTGAAAAATGAAACTAAACCAAAAACTGAAATAAAATTATTTGGGGACGAACAAAATGTTTCATTTGACCAAAACCAATTTTTTTAAATTTGACTTTGTTTAGTTTTCAGGTGTTTATTTTTGGTCTTTGAACCGAACAAATCAATTATCTGCTTAACTCTACTTATCAAGCTGTTAACTCCCACCATTGCTCTGCCAGTGAAGGCAGCCTTCATTGCTTGCTTCTCCCTTAAACATCTCTGTATGTTGCTCCCTTGCGTAGGAAGAACTCCCAGTCAAAAGCCATAACAGCATCATCTAATCCTCCTTCAAGTCCCTCCTCAAAACTCACCTCTTCCATAATTCATAGAGCAACAGGCAACCTGACAATGGTAAGGCAGCTGGTGAGTTGTCATTACTGTCCTATAACACGGGCTGCAGAATGCCATTAAAGTGTGTGTGCAGGAAACACAGATTTGCCCGCTTCCCCACCTGACCCTTCTCTTCCACTGTCTAATGCCCCTCACCTACCAGCAGACTGGCCCATGAGCCCCTATACTCGCACCCTCCTAATGTGAGTGAATGGCATTGCAACCTGCCACGCAGGGTCACAGCACCACTCAGGTTTAGCCTGGCCAAAAAGTGGTCAGACCATGGCCTGGGTGGTCCCCCTGGCTCCACAGCCTATGAATAATGCTAAAAAATTGTGCACACACTATTTTTATTAGCATCTCCTCCCACTCCTACCTTGACCAGTTTGCTTGTCTCATCCCCCTGTTATGTCTTGGAGTGTGAGCTCTTTGTGCCAGGGATTGTTATTTTCTCTATGTCTTTGTAGTGTCTAGCACAATGGGGCCTCGACCTGGTTGTGGCTTCTAGATATTACTGCAACATAACTAGGGCCCTACCAAACTCACGGTCCATTTTGGTCAATGTCACAGTCACAGGATTTTAAAAATCATAAATGTCATGACTTCAGCTATTTAAATCTGAAGTTTCACAGTGTTGTAATTGTAGGGATCCTGACCCAAAAAGGAGTTGTGTGGGTGGGGTAGGGGGTCGCAAGGTTATTGTAGCGGTGCTGCTACCCTTATTTCTGCGCTGCTGCTGGCGGCGGCGCTGCCTTCGGAGCTGGGCGGCTGGAGAGCGGTGGCTGCTGGCTGGGATCTCAGCTCTGAAGGCAGAGCCGCTGCCAGCAGCAGCGCAGAAGTAAGGATGGCCTGGTGTGGTATTGTCACCCTTACTTCTCGCTGCTTCCTGCAGAGCTGCGCCCTCAGTCAGCAGCCGCCACTCTCCAGCCGCTCAGCTCTGAAAGCAGCAGTGCAGAAGCAAGGTTGGCTTGGTATAGTATTGCCACCCTTACTTCTATGCTACTGCTGGCGGGGTGCTGACTTTAGAGCTGGGCGCCTGGCAAACAGCCACTGCTCTCTGGCCTCACAGCTCTGAAGGCAGCACAGAAGTAAGGGTGGCTATACCATGACACTCCTCAAATGACCTTGCCACCCCCACTGCAACTCCCTTTTGGGTCAATATAGTATAGTATAGTATAGTATAGGTTAAAAGCACACAAAAGACCAGATTTCACAGGGGGAGACCAGATTTTATGGTCTGTGACATGTTTTTCATGGCTGTGAATTTGGTAGGGCCCTAAACCTAACTGTTAAATAACAATAATAATATGGGAATGTTATAGGAGCCAGGTGAGTTTATAAAGCACAAAGGTGTGAGAGAAAGGAACAAGATGCACAATAGATGAGGCAAGATAGCATGGGAAATAATAGCATGTGATCATGTAATTAAAGATTATATGATAAAGCATAAGGGGCCAGAGTTGAGATTGCATGAGCAACCCTACTGTTAGCATTTCCTGCAATTTTGGATGCAAAAATCTTAATTTTTGGTAGACTTTTTGTACACAATTATTCCTAATATTTACATCAGTATCAATCGGTAGTACAGACAGTTACATAGAATCATAGAATATCAGGGTTGGAAGGGACCTCAGGAGGTCATCTAGTCCAACCTCCTGCTCAAAGCAGGACCAATCCCCAATTTTTGCCCCAGATCCCTAAATGGCCCCTTCAAGGATTGAACTCACAAGCCTGGGTTTAGCAGGCCAATGCTCAAACCACTGAGCTATAGCAAATAAAGGTGACTGCAACTAGCAACTCTATCATGCAAGTTCTAAAAATAATAATACTTTGTGCTTCTCTGGCATCTTATGTCCAAGGATTTCAAAGCTCTTTATAAACATTAATGGATTAAAACTTACAATGGGGTAGAGAGGGGGAAGTGTTATTATCCCTATTTTACATATGAGTAAACTGCAACAAAGATTGAGTGACAGAGTCAGTGTCAGAGTGGGAAATAAATCAGGTTTCCCAATTCTTGGTTTTCTGTTTTGACCTTTACACGATACCACTCCCTTTAGAAACATGGCAGAGTAGGGCATGCTTAGCATCCAAGAAGCCCTGAATAACATGCAAATAGTGGCAGGGGGGAGGGGACAGGAAGAGACAGAGTGTGAGTGAGAGTGCTACTGGAGAGCAGAACTGTTCCACTTCAACACAAGGACAAGGGATCGAGACAATAATGCTCTTCTTGATCCTCTCCTGGCAACTAGAGCACTGGGAGAGGAAGAGAGAGTGGAGTCATCTCTCCTAGCAGTCAGGAACCTGTTGAAGTATCACTGTAACCAGTAGTGCAAAGGCTTGTGGATTCACAGAGGAAAAATGTGGATGAATATGGTGATCTGTGTAGAGAGATGCTGAGCAACCCAGCTGTAAGACACATTATAAATATTTTAAAGTTATCACTTTGAATCCTTACCAGAGCATACAATGCTGGCATCACTTGAGTGTGAACATGTCTCATTAGGATGCAATGTTCTGGGACAGTACACAAGCTGTGATTCATTCCCCAAGCAATGGATTTTCTCAGACCAGATTGACCCATATCCTTCACTGAAGTGTGATCCTCCTGGGGTGGATACAACTGTTCCACAGTCTAATTCATTACAGATAACACTGGCGGCTTGAAGGTCCAAGTGTGAATCACAGACTGTGGTCCATGTGTCTCCGTGTCTTATTTCAACACGTCCTGAGCAGGCAGTATTCCCTCCAATCAGCTGGGGCTCAAGGCGTCCTAGACCGTCAGTAAATCCATCAGTGTTAGTTACATTGACATCCCATAATCTCCCTCGCACTTGACTAAAATTAAGTTGACTTTCTTGTACCAGCACTAAGATATTTTCAAACAGGCAGGAGACCTTTATCTGCTATGGCAGTTCCTGTTTTTCTGTGAAGGTACAGCTGTATAGGTGGGTAGAGTTCACTGCTGGGGTAGCAGCCATTGGCATTCTTAACAGTGTGTATAACTTGTGCCTCTAGTTATACCCAATGTTGACTAAGCATTTTGCATCCTAAAGCCCTTGTTCTGTTGCTTATAGTGTTGTTAAACTTTTGACCTGAAATTTTCCAGGTCTGTCCTCTGTCAAATGTGAATCTTTAAAAAAAGATGGAGCTAGGTATTTCAACCACTTTTGGGAAAGACAGCAGTGAAATAAGTACATTTTTGAGCGTGTCGAACAGTTCTAGCATCTCAGTGGAATAGGACAAAAACTTGAAATTTGGAGAGAAGATACTTGCTATATAGGGTGATGATCCACTCTGATTTGGCTGAGTTATAAGGCTATGGAAATGTATTTTGCTCATGTGCACTGTCATAAATATAAAGGGAAGGGTAAACCTCTTTAAAATCCCTCCTGGCCAGAGGAAAAATCCTCTTACCTGTAAAAGGTTAAGAAGCTAAAGGTAACCTCGCTGGCACCTGACCAAAATGACCAATGAGGAGACAAGATACTTTCAAAAGCTGGGAGGAGGGAGAAAAACAAAGGGTCTGTGTCTGTCTGTATGATGCTTTGGCCGGGAACAGAACAGGAATGGAGTCTTAGAATTTAGTAAGTAATCTAGCTAGGTATGTGTTAGATTATGATTTCTTTAAATGGCTGAGAAAATAGCTGTGCTGAATAGAATGAATATTCCTGTCTGTGTGTCTTTTTTGTAACTTAAGGTTTTGCCTAGAGGGATTCTCTATGTTTTGAATCTAATTACCCTGTAAGGAATCTACCATCTTGATTTTACAGAGGTGATTCCTTTACTTCTATTAAAAGTCTTCTTGTAAGAAAACTGAATGCTTTTTCATTGTTCTAAGATCCAAGGGTTTGGGTCTGTGGTCACCTATGCAAATTGGTGAGGATTTTTACTAAACCTTCCCCAGGAAGTGGGGTGCAAGGGTTGGGAGGATTTTGGGGGGAAAGACGTGTCCAAACTACATTTCCCAGTAAACCCAGATAAAGTTTGGTGGTGGCAGTGGAAATCCAAGGGCAAAGGGTAAAATTAATTTGTACCTTGGGGAAGTTTTACCCTAAGCTGGTAAAAGTAAGCTTAGGAGGTTTTCATGCAGGTCCCCACATCTGTACCCTAGAGTTCAGAGTGGGGAAGGAACCTTGACATGCACTAATATTTTAATAATGATAAAGATGTTTTTAATAATGATCTCCAATATTTTATCATCACTGTATCTGCATATGTAACAACATGGAACTGTACTAATCATTTTTTAAAAACTCCATCTAATTCAATGTATAGATGCATTTGGAATGGGGCAGGGCTCTGAAGGAATCCTTGCTCCATTGACAGAAATTTATTCAAGCAAACTATGTTAAAAGAACTCTTTCTTTTCAAGCGTCCTCTGTGGTTGGACCATAAGGGACCAATGGACCTCCCTTCTCCACAGAGATCACATATGCTATCCCGCTGCAGCGGTTGTGGGTTAGCGCTGTCACTCTTGCTCTTCAACCGGGTCAAACCCATTGCCTCTGATGCTGCTACCCTAAAGCTCTTTGGGGAGGAGCAGGGATTAGAATGGAGGGAGCCTCCAGCCTGCCATTACTCTTCCACTTACTGGAGCAGAGGGCCTGGTGTATGGCACCTCCCATGTCGCAGAGCAAAGGGCTGTGTCAGGTGACTGTGTGTGGTTCACACACACAGAGTCCTGTCCTGGATTGGTGGGGACCTGAGACCACCTTCGTCCTGGACCAGACCCCAGCCTACCTGAAGAGAGGGAGCAGGGAATGAGGGAGGTTCTGGCCAGCCTGATGCCCTGGTGGCAATGGCAGGGGCCCACAGTCTCTTTAGAAAGCTCTTGCATACTTGACTCTTTCTACTACCACCACACACAGAGAGTGGTACTGCTTCAGAGGTAGATGAGCCTAGGCTCCTGTATTAGGTTAATCCAGCCCTAGCAAGGAGGGAACCCCTGAGGGGAACAGCAGGGCAGCAAAGGGCAATTGCTCAGTACTTCATCTCTGCCTGTGTGAGCGGCAGCTGAGCTCTTCCTTGATTACTTGCTCACACTGACAGAGGAATGCTTAGCTCTCCAGGATCCAGGCCTCCTATGGAGCCTGCAAATGGACTGTTTTACCTGTGTACACACAATATGAGTCAAGTGTCTTAAACTTCAGTCAATCAAATGGAAATGTAGGACAAACAGCTTATCCAGATAAAGGAGAATGATTTGACTCCATTCTTCTTTCCCTGCATTTCTACTTTCCTCCTACTTTCTACTCTTTCATCTGTCTTCCACTCTCCCCCTCCCTTGGTACCCTCCTCTTTCATACTTCCTTCCTTCCTGATGTGTCCATTAATCTCACTCCTCGGGGCAGGGAGTAGTCCCATATAATTTCTACAAGGAGTTCTCATCTCTATTCCTCTGTGCTCTGAAGAGAGATGAAGAACATGTGTGGGGTGGGGGAAGAGAAAACAAGACCTTCAGGGCAGGGAGAGCAGTCAGAGGGAGGGACTTGAAGAGACAGAGATATATATCCCATACACAGGAAGAGGAGAAGAGGGAGAACAGAATAGGGAGGCACAAATGAGGACACCTAGGGGAAAGAGTAGAGCTGCTCAAAATTTTTATGATGGAACAGATTTCCATCTGAAAAAGCTGGTTTTGACAAAATCAAAACGTTCTGCAGAAATAGACTAATTTTGTCAAACTTCAGATGAAAAGTTATCAAAAAGATTTGATAAAATCAAAATATTTCATTTCAGCCTTAGAACATTTAACTTAAACTTTTTATTTTATGTATAATACAGAATAGTTGAACATATAAAGTCCAAACAAATATGTTTCCATAAGGTTGAAATTAAATTTCAGCATTCTCGTTACACAGAAATTCTGAAATTCTAAATTCTTGTTCCAAATCAGAATTATTTATTATTTATTATTATTACTACTACTACTTTTGTAATTTCCCTTGCAGCAGGAGTTCCAGGTTTTGACATGCTCAAGGAAGGAGAGCAGGGAGGGGAAGTATAGTACCAGGTGGGCATCTGTTGAAGAAGGTAAAGATGGGGATTCCAATGCGAGGGAGAATAAAAGGGGAAGGGAGAGAGGGGGGACACTATTAAGGGGGTAGAGGGAAGTCCTACTTTCTTATATTCTTCCTCCAGTTCCCATCAATGGAGCTTAATGGGAAATAGGGGAAATCTGATCCTGCAGCTATAAATATGTGGGGGTAGGGAGAGGGCCATTAGCTGCCCCTTCACCCCAAGATCATGTGGTTGCCTTTCATCCTGTCCCTGCTCTCAGTTTCTAGGAATCAGTCACAGTGCCCTGTAGAGCAGGCAGCACTGGACCTGACGAAGTGAACTGCACCACAAAGATGTTCAGCCCTGCAGAGCAGAGAAGTTGCCAGACAGATCAGGGTCTTCTCCTTGTGAGGACCCCCAGGTCCATGGTTCAGCCTCCTGCAGCTGGACTAAACACCCCTCTGCCACCATTAAAAGGAAAATGAAAGACATGGTACTGAAACTATGAAGACTGGGATAATGAAAACCCTTCAGAGATAGGAATTCTCATTTGATAGGAATCCCCCAAGGTTTTTATACTATCCAGTAAGATGGATAATAATTACAGAATTTACTCTCGTTTTTATTCATTTCTCATTAGGGTCACAGGCCCATGACGCCTCTGGGTTCAAGCCTTTTTCTCTCAAAGGATTTGCTTGTAGGACTGAATTGGCCAATTCCTTACCTGAACAGGTCACTCCAGCGTCCTCTACATGCCTGCAGTCATGCTCACCCCAACTGTTGTGTTCACATTCCCAGACAGCAGACTCGGTACCACGACAGACAGTGTTATCCAGCCATATCTGTCCAGATCCTTCTCCAAAATGAGCATAAATATGGGCACTGAGAGCAACTCCACATCCCAACTGCTTACAGACAACCCCAGCAGCTGCCATGTCCCAGTTATCATCACACACCGTCCCCCACTGATCCTGGTGTTTAACCTCCACTCTCCCGGCACAGGGGCTGCTTCCATTGACCAGCCTCAGCTCATCAGCACCTACGAGAGACAGAACAGAATTACAAAGAGCACTGAGCTCCACCCCCATTGCTATTACCAGCAGAGTCAGTGCCCAGCAGCAGAGGATCTGCATTGAGAGCAATGACTGGACAGTCTCAAAGTAGCCCAATCACACAACATTATCATGAGTCTCGCAAACCTATGTGCTTTTTTTTTTTAAAGCTGCTGTGTTCCCAGGAAAATCTGGGGCCCTCTCATGGCTTTTGCTTTTATGAAAAAATGGCCACTATTTCCCATTTTCCTCTGCAGGACAGAAGCTACCAGCTGATCTCAGCCAAAATGCCTTTGCATGTAGACACAAGACTGTTCCCAGTGGGATGGAAGCCAGGCTGCCCACAGTGAGGATGGGAATCCCCTTATCCAGCAGATGTGATCCAAGCAGGAGACGGCTATGGCATGCTGTATGTGGCTAATAGGAAATGCAAGAGATGGTAAGAGGAGGGGGAGTGGCTTGGACAGACACAAAACCAAAGAATTTAGGGACTGTAATAAGGATTGGCTGCCTCCTGAGTGCCCCCTCATGGCCAGAGGTCAGTCTGCTGTACCTTGCCTCTTTTCCCCTCTTCAGATCCCTTTAATAACTCACTCAGTCCAAAGGTAATTAAAACATTTGACTCCTAGGGTCCTTACATACTAGCCCTCTGGGCCTAAACCCCAGTTCAGTCTCTCTCACTACTTAGGTAGGGAGTTCCCAGCCCTTTTCCCCAAAGTTGGGAAAGTGTTTCAGCTCCCTCTATTCCCCCCTCCCCAACTCAAGCAGAAGTTTGGCCTTGCAGGCCCCAAGCCTCATTCACCTTATGATCTGCTTAATGTCGTCTATTGGCAATCTCCCAAAAGAAGAAGGAATCCATCTATGACTTAGACTCTGCACACAGATCAGTTGCAGTCAGGTTGGAAGGCAAGAGTGGTAGAAAGATGGCAATCCCCAATTTACCCAAATACCTTCACAAATCCTTTTCTCTTGACCGCACAGTTGTATTCTCAAACAAGCGGCAAGTCTAAGGCTTCAGGCCTTTCATTTAACCATTATATTAACAAAATAACAGCAGGAACTGGATTAAGAGATTCCTTGAAACAGGGTGGCTTGCCTTTAAGGGCTGGAGGCCTGGGGCCAGCCAATCCTGATTAGTGAGGGAGCCACCCATGCTGCCTTAACAGCCTTAATGGGGCCTGATGGAAGACAGATGATTCCCCAGTAAAGTACAGCAGGAAGCTGGAGATAGTGGGGGGAAACTCAAGAAGCTGTGGCAGAGACTGAGGAAAGAATCCTGCAGGGAAGACCCTGATATCAAGGGACTTACCTGGCTAGGAGGATTGGGAGTAGCCTATTAAGGCAGGAGGAGAAGTCAGAACCAGGCTGAATTCCAACCAAGTCAAGCCTGGGAGTAACTGTTGAATTTGGACCTACTGCTTGGAAGGAGGTGCCTTTAGATGGTTATGCTATTCCATATAAAACATAGTATATGAACTGTGCAAATTCAGACAGAGAATGCAAATGGCTGTCAAATCCATCCACCCCTATGTAAATATATTGAGGGAATTAGCGAAGTCTTGTCATTTTTGACACATTTGAATCAGATGTAATTAGAGATTAACTCACTGGGAAGTGTGCTCGCAAAACATTACAGGGAAAATTCTAGCAACGGTTGAGTTTAAACATAGAAAATAGTAGTGGCAATGGCAGGACTGTCTGAGTCAGCGCCTGCAGAATCTAGAATTCTTTCTCTTGTGTCTGCAGATCAGAGCATTTACACAGTGCAGGCTCACAGCTAACAGTTGTTTTAATAAACAAAATAAATCTTCAGCATATGCACAAAATGCACGGTACACGATAATGGCATTTGTTAGTATCGTGGCCAGTCTATGCATTCACAAGATAAATGTGGGAAAAGGAGTGCTAAATGTACAGACAGTAAAAAAACATAGTGGGACACCGTGCTAAAGTTCGCAGAAAGGAATAAAATAAAGAAACTCTTAAGTAAAAGAGTCCCCAGATTGATGTGCGAAAGTGTGAGCTCTCTTATAGCATTGACTCAGAGGCAGAGGAGCTTATTTTATGAGCTCAGATGTAGGAGGGTGTGACAGAATGTTCCCGTGTCCGCACCCTACACACTGTTGTAATAATCTCTGTACAAAGTATGTCTTGTATGGTATCATCTGAAAATTCATAATTTGTTGGTCAATATTTCCTGGTAAAATGGGTGTGTCAACATTGTAAGTGAAGTTATAAGATTCCACTGCATGGTGATCTTAATACATGTTCCAAACTGAGGTTGGCAAACATCTGTTTCAAACAAAGGAATATGTGCTTTGCTTAATTTGCATTTAAGCAGTAAACAGAGTCATCAAGCAGGAAGGGTGGACAAAGAAACCTCAAATAGGTGAGGAAAAATAGCAGGAAACATCCTTTCCTGGAGACTTTCTGTTTCCTGAATCTCAGCTGGAAATAGAAAAGGAGTACTTGTGGCACCTTAGAGACTAACAAATTTATTAGAGCATAAGCTTTCGGGAGCTACAGCTCACTTCATCGGATGCATTCAGTGGAAAATACAGTGGGGAGATTTATATACACAGAGAACATGAAACAATGGTGTTACCATACACACTGTAACGAGAGTGATCAGGTAAGGTGAGCTATTACCAGCAGGAGAGCCGGGGGGGAGGGGGAACCTTTTGTAGTGATAATCAAGGTGGGCCATTTCCAGCAGTTGACAAGAACGTCTCAGGAACAGTGGGGGGAGGGGGATGGATAAACATGGGGAAATAGTTTTACTTTGTGTAATGACCCATCCACTCCCAGTCTTTATTCAAGCCTAAGTTAATTGTATCCAGTTTGCAAATTAATTCCAATTCAGCAGTCTCTCGTTGGAGTCTGTTTTTGAAGTTTTTTTGTTGAAGAATTGCCACTTTTAGGTCTGTAATCGAGTGACCAAAGAGATTAAAGTGTTCTCCAACTGGTTTTTGAATGATATAATTCTTGACGTCTGATTTGTGTCCATTTATTCTTTTACGTAGAGACTGGAAATGTTTTCCAAGAGGGGGACAGATACTATAAAAATGAGGGACAAGCACTCCATGCCCCGCCTCCTCCTGTCTTACTCTCTCTGCCCACTGATTCACTGCACCAGAAGGAACAAAGGAAGCAGCCATTAAACAGAAGAAAGGGTCCTGGCCTAAGAAGTTTGGCCAGTAAGACTGTTAGAGCCTTTGATGAGAAAAACTTGGCTTTGAATTTAACATAGTTTGTTAAGTTAGGCAGTAGTTGTGTTTTATCTTTATTTGTCTTGTAACCATTTCTGACTGTTCTGCCTCATTACTTGTATTTACTTAAAATCTATCTCTTTGTAGTTAATTAACTTGTTTTATTATGTGAATGGAAGTTTGTTTTGGAAACAAGATTTGTGCATATCATTTCTATTAATAAAATTGACTTTATATCCGTTTGTATTGTTCAGGAGAGGGCTGGGCAGTACCGGACATACCTTCAGTCTGGGATCTTCCCCCAGAAATGTATGTTGGAGTCACCCGGCAATATACCCAATGCTGGTGAGAGCCAAGGCATGTCTGACTGGCAGCAGCCCACACACAGACATATAGGGTTGCCAACTTTCTAATCACAAAAACCTGAACACCCTTTCCCCACCCCTTGCCCTGCCTTTTCCCCGAGGCAACGCCCCTGCCCCGCTCCTTCTCTGAGGCCATACCACCACTCACTCCACCCCCCCTCCCTCTGTCCCTTGCTCTCCCGCATCCTCACTCACTGTCACCGGGCTGGGGTAGGGGGTTGGGGTGCAGGAGGGGTTGAGGCTCTGGTTGGGGGTGCGGGCTCTGGGGTGTGGCTGGGATGAGGGGTTTGTGGTGCAGAAGGCGGTGAGGGGTGCGGGCTCCGGCCAGGCGGTGCTTACCTCGAGCGGCTCCCGGAAGCAACCAACATGTCTGGCTCCTAGGCTCAGGGTTTGGCCAGGCAACTCTGTGCACTGCCCTTGCCTGCAGGCAGCAACCCCGCAGCTCCCCATAGGAAGGGGACAGAATGGGCATCAGAAATGATAATGAAGAGATCAGACTTTGAGAAGACCAAATTTAAGAAAACTTAATAAACCTGTGGTTAGAGAGCGTCACTCTGTACTTACAAAAGATAAATATTCTCCATGCCATGAACCACTGAAAAGTTTTTGTTAAACTTGATGCTGGGAAGGCGTCTGGCAAGTTGTGTAATGACCTGACTCCAGGAATCCACCATTTTAATTCACTGTGTTTGTTACAGAGTCTTTAAAATTCATTTTGGACCTTACAGTGCTCCTGGGGCCTATAAAAAGGATTCAGTACTGTAGTAGGAAGAAGGCCTGAAACATAAGCCCTTGTATCAGAAGCCTGGTATGAGGCCTGAGGCCAGGGCTAAATTAGTGGTCAAAGCTTTGCTGATATAAAGCAAAGTTAAATTGTGAGCAAGAGGCAAGCCCTGCTCACAGAATCTGTGAAGAACAGGGCTGATATTGCAAAAATGCATATTTCTAAGAGGATGATTGTATCTCGATTCAAAATGCCAGGCTTCTGAGACATGTTCCCTCAGGTCCTAGCTGACACCTCAGAAGTGAACCCCTAATTCCAAGGCAAAAGAAGAGAACACAGAGGCGAAAGGAAATTCATTCTGTCACTAATTCTGAAGCTACGTCTCAAGTTCCAGGTACAGAAGAAGATACTCATTTTTGGGCTACTGCTAAAAGTGGAAGAGTTGTGAAAAGGTATGTTAGAGTTAATGACACTGTGTAAAAAGGAGGTGGGCCCCGCAGCTCACTTGTGTTGGAGCTGCTGAGGGAGACAGACGCTTCTCCCCACTGCGCTGCCAGAGCAGGATGCCAAAGAGGACCTCTGCCACCCTGAAGACTTGCCTGAGTTTCCAGAGCTGCCAGTCACTCCAGAGACTGAGGAGCTGCTGGGACTACCACTGGCCATATATCCCGGTGAGATGAAGGACAGGATCCAGGGACAGCCTAAGGGGAGGGGAGGAAGAAGCCCAGGGACAACTGACTGTAGTCTGGCTGTGTTGCTGCCTGAAGCCAGGTCAGCATGTTGTGGCTGGATCCCTGCTGACCCAGTGGTGGATTGATCCACCACTGTTAGGGCCCTGGACTGGGACCTGGTGGAGTGGGGTGGATCCAGGTCTCCCTACCCCACTTCTACCAACCCCCCCCCCGGGGTGGCAGCCTCCCCACCTTAGGCTAGGAGGCCTGCATTTATCTGCCATCTGTCAGAGCCAGGATGTCAGAGCCCCTTTGACTATTTGGTGTCCCACCCTGCTTGAGGGCGTGGGTTCTTAGACCCTTTTCTGATCTGCCCCAACCAAAAGGCAGAGCCCCTAAGACTGTTGGGTGCTCTGCCCTACCTGAGGGCCTGGGCTCCTAGACCCTTTGCTGTCCTTCCCCGAACAAAGGCCAGAGCCCTATAGGCTTTTTGCAGCAAAGTTAAAGCTACAAAGCGTCAGTGTAGACGCTGCCCTTCATTATGTCACCATAACTGGCCTATCCCAGTATCCCATAATGCCTGCCCTGACCACTCTTCTCACAGTTTTGAAGTCTGCTGCCCTGCATCTCGCTACGCGGGCATGCACCGCTCCCCTTTCAAAGCTCTGGGAAGCTTTGACATTCCTCAGCGTGGAAAGCTCACAGAGCTGCTGAGGATGCTGCTCCTGGCAGTTGAGGAGGCTGTGGGAGAACTCAGAAGGAACCATTAATGTGGAATCCTGCTCTCCCTGGCACTAGGAACACAGCGGCAGGCAGAGAAGACAGGCACAGTGGCCTGCTGTTGCGGGGAGGAAGGGGGAAAGACAGCTGTGCTTTGCAGAGCCCGGGGACTGATGTGTGGCAGGGTGTCCCTCTCCCTCTCCCTCAGAATTGGTTGCTCAAGCTGCTGCCTGAACTTAAAGAGACAGTATGCTGACACATTCTCCCTCAACACACACACTCCCCCAACACACACTCTGTCTCTCTCACATATACAATCCCCCTCACACAATCTCTCACAAACTTCCACACACAGACTCTGTCTCTGTCTCCTGTCAAACACTCTCCCCTATTCCCCTGACACACTTCAGTTGAAAAGTGATTGGAAGTCTAGTAGGATGCCCATGGAACAATGGGATTGAGAAACCTGCATCATGTGATGCTGTACCTGCCCCATGAGGCTTTGCAAACCCTTCCCAAAGCACCCTGCAGCTAGTTGCACAGTGGGATAGCTACTCACAGTGCACTGCTCTGTGTCTCTGCAAGAGCTGGTAGTGTGGATTCACTCTGCCAACACAAGGAGCATAGTGTAGATGTAACCTTTCTGCCAGGTGGAGCCAGCAGCAACAAGGGCTGGGTTCAGTATCTAGGGGTTCCTTTTCAACAACACAACACAAAACCGGCTCGAGCCCCGACCCAGTGACCTGGGTCAATTACACACCACCCCCTGGGCACCTCTAAGAGGCAATACTTCCCCTCTTGCCAGCACAGAGTCTGAGTGTAGCAAAAACACTTTAATGAAAGGAGGGAATTAACTCAGCATTAATTTGGGAAAACACTGCAACTAGGGTTCGTAAACAAAAAACATAAGCAAAAGACCCACCCCCAAGGAAGTTGGGCAGTGTCCTTTTCCCCTCAAGATCTTAAGTCCAGCAACCCAAAAGTCCCTTTAACGTGCCCGTCCCTTCTGTGTACCACACTCACAGTTGCTGTCCTTGGCCAGTGCAGCCCCAGGGTTCAGAGGTTCATCCTCAGAGTTCACCTCCCACCCTGTGTCAAAGGCAGGGGTGGGGGTAAGGAGGCACCTTACACGCTACACTGCTCGGGCACTCGCTCATTGCCTCAATGGCCAATTGCCATGCCCCTGTGGAGCGCTGCTCTGGCACTCTCCACCAGCCTCTCTGCCACCCGCCCTGCTAGCCGCTTGCCACACCTCTTGCCACACCAGCTTGCCAAGATGTCTTCATCTTCCTCCCCCTGCAACCTTAACACAGCTCTCAGTGATTTCAGCTGTTAGTGGGGAGCCTCACTGCTGGTGCATGCTGGGCAGTCTCTTGCAATAAAGACACTGTCCAAAAATAGGTCTAATACTTAGACCTAGGTATTTAGAAATACTATGGTACAGTTTGATTCATTAAAGGTTTTCTTCTGTACTACTCTATACTGTCTTTTACATACAGTGCCACTCCCCCACCATCATGATTTACTCTGTCATTTGGGTATGTTTTGTACCCTGGGATTACCGTGTCCCATGATTATCATTGTTCCACCAAGTTTCTGTGATGCCTGTTACATCAATATCCCCATTTAACACCAGGCTCTCAAGTTTACCCATCTCAGTATTCAGACTTCAAGCATTCATATACAAGCACTTATAAAATGTGTCACTTTTTTGCTGTCTGTCATTACGTGATGCAATTGACTGGGACTCTTTTTCATTTGACTGTTTCTCTTCTGTTCCTACCTGTACTGTATCACCTTCTATCTATGGTCATCGGTTTTCCCAGATTACTGAGTGGGGACTTGAGCAGGTTCTGTTCTGTATTATTAAGAGGAACCCGTAGATGTTGCTGCTGACTCGACCTGGCAGAAGGGTTACATATGAATAACATTTTAAATTCAATCCTAATATACAAAATGGGCAATTCCGGTGAAAGTTTAATTTCTCTGCCTAAAGAAAAACTCTGGTGCAACCTTAACTATCATGCTACTGCCATTTCAAATTAATAGGCAGCAGATTTAAAACAAACAAAAGGAAGTATTTCTTCACTCAGTCCACAGTCAACCCATGAAACTTGTTGAGAAGGCCAAAAGTATAACTGGCTGAGAATTAGCTATATTCAAGGAGGACAGGTCCAAAGGCTATTAGCCAAAATGGTCAGAGATGCAATTCCATGCTCCGGGTTTCCTTAAACCTCCAACTGCCAGAAGCTGGGATTGAACAACAGGTGATGGATCACTGGAAATTGCCCTGTGCTGTTCATTCCCTCTGAAACATCTGGCTCTGTCCACTATCAGAGACAGGATACTGGGCTACATAGACAGTTGATCTGACCCAGTATGGCTGTTCTTATGTTCTAATGGTGTTTATGTAAGAGATGGAGCTAACAGCGTTTACGCTGGGGAGAGGAAAGAATGACATTGCCTGAGATAAAAAGAGTAGTGGGAGAATAATCCCATCCTTCCTCACTCAGGCCCTGCTGAAGGGAGTTTGAGTCTCATATAGTTAAGCTGCTGTTAGGGGAGAGATGGTTGAAAATTTTCTAATGAAAAAAATACGACTCACAATTGCTGGTTTGAATGAAGTGAATTTGAAAGAAATTTTCTTTCTGTGACAAAAATTTCAGATGCAAAAATGTTGCTGTCCTTTTTTAATTTTTATTTAAAAATATTGTTGGGTTTTATTTAATATTTCAATCTTTTTTGGTCTCCCTGTTCCTTCTGTTTGTTGACTGAATTTTGTCCCATGTTGCCAGGTAGTGTTCCATGATTGGTAAAAATTCCTGTACATACCAGGAAAGTGTGGGATCGGCTAAGCTGACCTGCATGTCACACCAGGGTGAACTGTTGCTCTGTGATGAAGATTGGGGCTAGACCAACACACAGTACATGCCTGGCTATCTGTTTTTGGGATTCCCAGCAAAGCAGAATCCCTCTCTTCCTACAATCTTTGGGCAGAAGGAAAAAAAATTGGGCTGGTGATTGTCTCACTGACCATTGCAAGCTGCAACTGCTTGCCTGGACTTTACATTACGTAGGGGTACTGGGCAGGCCTTATTCACTGGGGAGCAGAGCGTCTGATAGCAAGGTTCCTTGCAGGGCTGATGGGCCAGACCCCAACATCCTCTCCTCGTCTTCCTCGCCCTACTCCCCTTTCTTCTCTCCCACTCTTCCTCCTTCCTCCCACCCTTTCACAACCATGGGGGCTATGTTGGTAATATTTGTTTTGTAGGTTTTGTTGTTCTTATGTCTATAAACATATACACACATTGAGCAAGCTCTGCAGCTGTGGGCTTCAGCCTACTAGCACACAACCCGTGGTGGGCAACGGGCAGGGAGGGGAATGGGGAGAGGCATTTTGGTCAGGAACACCAGGGCAAACACCTACTTTTCCAGAGAGTGAAATGGGATTGTAATGGCCCCACAGCATGGATGAGATCTCTGCGTATAGGTTGCTTCTGCAACACCAACCTCAACCTGATGAAGGGCTGAGTCAGCCCTGCTGAGACTGAGGGAATCTGTGAATCACAAACCCCAGGTTTATAGCACAGAGCCATTCTCTCCGGTTCACTCTAGCGTAGAGCTAGGATCCACCTTGCCACCCCCTCACTGCACCTGGAAGTGTCTCTAATCGGGGGAACTTAAACAAAGAGAGCAACACTCCGATATCCCTACTTACCTTGAGGACTGTAGTCAATGGGACTACTCATGAAGATCCTAATCTGGGCAGCACACTGCACTGTAACTAACATATACACGTCTGTACTAAACTTACCTGAGCAAATAACCCTGGCCATTCCTCTTGCGAAGCAGGCTGGGTTGGGCCAGACCCGCACCTGGTGTAAATCAGCATAGCCTCACTGATCCGACAGGATGTTCCCCAATCCCCAATTCTTTTCTTTCCCACTGCAGCTGCTCACCTGAACACACCACGCTGGCTTCGCTCCCAGGGGGACACTCAGTTGTACCCAGCGCAGTAACAGGACAGTCTCTCAGGCGGGATTCGTTCCTCTCACAGCCAAACGTGCCGTTCCAGACAGGCCCCTCTCCTGTGCCAAAGAGCTGCCCTGCTGGCATCGACAGGGCGAATCCACAGTCAAGCTGCTGGCAGAGGGCGTGGGCAGCCTGTAAATCCCACTGGGAGTCACAGAGGGTTCCCCAGGCGCCTCCGTGGAGAAGCTCCACTCTCCCCAAACACCCTGTGCTGCCATTTGCCAGCCTGTACCCGCCGTACCCTGAGAAGAAGGAGAAGGGAGATAGAAGGACATTTCTCTTGCACAGTTGTATCTAAAGACGTGACGAAGGAGCCCTAGTGACATCAGATAATTAATTAATAATTATTTCCTAGTTTACTGGGCACTTTGTTTAATCAGGATATTTAGACATGATGATCAGGCTCTTACAGTGCAGGTGCTATTGCTCATGTCTGCCTTGTGTGAGGGGTCACACAGCACCCACCAAACTCTGCACCAGCATGTGCCGCTCTTGGGTCAGTGTCGTTCCTGGGATGGATTATCACGGGGCAGGGGCAATCTCCTCTCTGGTGGTTTCAAAGGAGACTGCAGAGGCTGGCATTCAAGAAGCGGGTCTTTACATGTCATGGTTGTTGTGTCCTAGGTTATTAGGAGCTCACTGAATCAGAACAGTAGCATTGAGGGATCTGATTGGGAAAAAACTACAGAGTAGTGATATTAAAACCAAGACATAACTTTAGCCAGAGCTGCCTGGAGCTCTGCACTGGTAAATATTTTCAAAACTGAAGGGAGTATGCTGCAGGGTAGAAGCTCCTAGCCGCAGCACACTCTGTGGGACTGAAGCCCCAAGACCCCACCCCACCCTGGAGCCTCAAATGGAGAGAAATTGGGGGGTCTGGGAAATACTATATGATAATTTAAGCCCTGATTATAGCATAATGACAGCTCTGAAATAGTTACATTTGAGACCAGTTTCTCTTTAAAGCTGAACTGTTCCATAGTTGATTGGATTGCCTTGAAAATTGGCATGTCACCTAGGAGCACTGGGTTGTAGTAGTGATCCGAACTTGGGGCCATTTGCCCAGGGGACTCCTGAGCTAGAGCTCCCAGAAAAAAAAAACACATCCAGTTGCCTTAAAGTTGACAGATGCTGGCAATTTATTTTTGCTCACAGATAGAGATCAAACCAGTGCTCTGAACATTGCACCAGGGTCTCAGACACTCGAGGGTTACCCCCAACAGAGAATATGGCACCCACCAGCCCTTTGGAGGAAATCAAATTAAAATGTTATTTCAAAAAGAGATTGCTTCTCCAGTTAGGTGCTTGTGAAGGCTTGTGCGCCTACATGCACACTTGATGGACTACAATGAGCATGTGCAGTGAAAGAAGCTAGCTATCTGGAAAAGTGCCACTCAGGTATGAGATGTGGGTGGTTTTGAGGGTAAATTGTAGTCCTTACAGTTAGGCACCCCCACCCCTGTCACTGTGAGTGCAACTCCAGCCCAGAAAAGGAAAGTGGTGTTAAAAAAGGAGGTTAATTGCTCCAATTTGCCTGTCTCCAAGGGGGATTTTGTTTTGGGGGAATTATAACCTGAGTGCAACAGAAAACTCAGAAGATGCTGAAACTGCTTTTGGAAAGAAAACAACTTCCATATGTGAATGCTCAGGGGAGGGATGAATCAGGGGTGCAAGAGTAGGTGGTAACAGGAGAAGATGGGTTTCGGTTTGCAGCCAGGGAAGTGTTTGTTATGGAGAGGAAGACAAATGGGAATGGCTGGTAGTGAAGAGAAGTGTCCGGCGGGCTGAGCCAAGGGGGAGAGAGTGAGGATTGAGAGAGGAGGAGGGGAGAAGACAGGAGGGCTTGGAGACTGAAAGGGGTAGCTGAGGAAATTGGAGGGTTGAGAGTGGGCACATAAACCATGAATTCTCCCCTTCCATGTGTGTGCTGCAATCTAGGGGAAGCCTACCCCTTTGCAGGTCCTGGAATCAACTATACAACAGCCATTATTCCCATGACATTGTAACAAAATGTATAGGATGGGGAGGAGCACTGAGGAATCACATAGCAACCTTGTGGCCTAGTGGAAACACCACTGGACTGGGACTATCCCCAGCTCTGCCACTGGCCTGCTGGCTGACCTTGGGCAAGTCTGAGGTTCTGAGCCCCAGAAGGGGGTCAGAGGCAGACCAGCGGAAAGCCTCTGGGCAAAGATCAAAGTAGGAAAAACAGGGGTGATGTCATGGTAGGGGTCTACTATAGATCACCCAATCAGGGTGGCATTATTAGAACATATAATAGAAATATTCAAAACACAAGACCTGAGAGTAACAGTGGACTTTATCTACCCAGACATCTGTTGGAAAAGTAATATGGCAAAATATCCAATAATTTCTTGGAATGTGTTGGGGATAACTTTTTGTTCCAGAAAGTGGAAGAAGTAACCAAGGGGACCATGAAAAAATAGCTTTTATGATTCTGAGGAGAGAAAGGAGTGAGAGCAGCAGAATGAAGACAATGGACTTAAAAAAAAAAGCAGACTTTAACAAACATGGGAACTGGTTTGTAAGGTGCCAAGGGAAGAAAATCTTAGGGAAAAAGGAGATCAGAAGACCTGGCAGTTTCTGGAGTAGACACTATTAAAGACACAACTGCAAACTATGCTGATGCAAAAGAAAGACAGAATCGTAAGAGACTAATATGTGTCCATCAGGAGCTCTTTAACGACCCAAAAATCTAAAAGGAATCCTACAGAAAGTGGAAATGTGAACCGCTTGCTAAGGAAGAGTACAAAACCTCAACACCAGCATGTAGGGACTAAATCAGTGAGGCTAAGGCACAAAATGAGTTACACTCAGAAAGAGACATAAAAGGGAATAAGAAGTTGTTTTATAAATACTTTAGGGAGCAAGAGGAAGACAAAGGAAAGTGCAGGTCCTCTGCTTAGTGCAAAGAAGAGCTAATAAGGGATGACATCAAGAAGGCTGAGGTGTTTAATGCCTATTTTGCTTTAGTCTTCACTAAATAGGTTAATGGTGAGCAGATACTCAACACAATTAATAGTAACAACATGGGGGAAGGAACACAAGCCAAAACTAGGGAAGAACATATTAAAGAATATTTAGATAAGTTAGATGTATTTGAGTCCCAGGTCCTGATAAAAAGAAAAGGAATACTTGTGGTACCTTAGAGACTAACAGATTTATAAAAGCATAAGTTTTCGTGAGCTACAGCTCACTCTGAAACCAGGTCCTGATGAAATTCATCTGAGTTGTGATGCTCTCTCGGAGCATCCAGTACCAGAAGCCTCTGTGTTACCCCTCTGACTCAGCTAGAGTGAGCTTTGCTGGAGCTTAAACTGTGTGTCGGCTCCCTGCCCCACCAATCTGTCTGCCTCACCAGCAAACTCCTTGAAATTCTGCCTGTCTACACCATCTTGCCTTGAAGGTAATGGTCAATGAACCCAGAGGTCCCAAGTTCCCCTGAGATGTCTCCCTGTAGTTTCCAATGCCTCTCACTCATCACTCACAGAAATTATTAACTCCACTGTCTCCAAAGAGACAGTACACGCACACACACTAACCTGTTTGCCCAGCAGAGGACACACTCTTTACCTTAACAAACAGCACTGAGCTGAGTAAGAATACATTTATTAATAAAGAACATAGATCATACTAAGCAGTGATAACAGAAGCAGAAAATGCTTACAAACAAAACAAAATATTGCACACTTTCTAGTGTCTAAGGCTTAACTTTAGCAAGCTACAATCTTTGCTTCAACAGCATTCTCTCTTACATCAAGCTACCAGCATTTCCATATCTTCTAGCAGGAGGATCCAACATTCACAGAATCCTCTTTGCCCCTTAAATGATAGATAACTAAGGCATTTTCTGTCCTTGTTTTTATAGTTCAGTAAATTTTTGAAACATGCTTGTCTAAAGTGCATCCCCAGATAAACTTCTTCTCCCCTACTTTTTGACGCTACCTGTTGACTTCCCATCCCCCTGGTGAATCATATGTAATGTAACTTCCACTCTCTCTGGCATCATCATGCCCAGTTTACATTGGAGACACAGGCAAAATGACATGCTTTTCCCCAGGAAAAACTTGTTTATCAAGTCTGTTCCCAAAACATATTTTAGGAACATATTTCCATCACACAGACATAACTCTTTACTCACAATCTGTATATTCCTTGCACAACGATTTCCATAACCAACATGTCACCAGTGTTTATATGATATCTTACTCCATACACTGTTATAGTACAATAATACTGTAGACAAACAGTTGTTTCCCTGAGCTCAAACACTGAGCCCACCCCATGAGACCACACCACACTTGCAAATTCAACAACCACTTCCTACCCTTTTACAGCCCTGTAACTGAGCCACACAAGATATCACCTAAACCTACTTTCCCCCATCCATCATTAAATCCACAGACAGCTCTCATGTCCCAGCTCACTACTGACAATACCCATTGCAAGATGAATCCAGTGCCCTGCTCCTGACACAGCCTACACAAATGATGCCGACTGGAACCTCAAGGTCCATATTCACATCTTCCCTTTGATAACACGCATGGGGGCGTTCAGGCCCAGATCTCCTCGTATCACATTCACAGCTCTCTGATGCTCCTCAAACTAATCCCCAGATCTCCTCATATTACAACCACAGCTCTCCCAAGCTGCTCCAGCGTATTCTTCCACCATTCAGTACAGCTGCACCCAATGCAGTGACTGTAGATGGAGAGCAGATAAGCCCTGTGGTTATTGCCATCTCCAGGGGGATCATTTCCCTTGGTGAAGAGCTGCTTGGGGCTTCCATTGATGTAAATGAAACAGTAGCTCTAAGAGTTGTGAACTACCTCAGTCAATCCAACAGTGCTCAATATGTGACTTTCTGATGACAATTAAAAAGCAAACACTGGTGACTATCTCCCTGCCTCAAGCTGTAGTGTTGTTCTGAGATTGTGGGTAGAATTGGGGATTCAAAGCAGATTTTTAGTAGAATTAAATGGTAAAAACTTCATTAATGCAGAGTTGAGGTTGCCTGCGGATAGCCTGGGACATTACAGAACATGGAGTTCAGCAAGGGACAGCCCCTCAAGTACAGGACACAATCCCACAAGGTGCTGAGAGGATCCTGTGAGGGGCTGAGTGCCCTCAGCTGCCACTGCTGGATCAGGACCAAAGTGAGTCAAACACACCACTGAAGGGAAAAAGGAGGGAAGAGCAGATGAAGGTTTTGTTATCACTAGAAGCTCACACCAAGAAATGTGTAGGAATGAGCACCATGGGGCTGAGGTCTCTTTCTCTCCTCGCCAACAGTCTTATACTACCTGACTGGTTTGTGAGGGGCCTGGCCAGTTTTTCTATGGCCTTGCCAGTTGCTGGTCCAAAGGTGTTATTGGCTGGGGGTGGGGGAGGGGTTGGTGTTGCACAAACACACCTGGGCATGAAGTGATCTCGGAACCCTAGTTGCAGATATCACGGCTGGGAGCATTCAACGGCCTTTCAGCTGGCACCCTCATCCTGCTCTGCATGTGTGCAGTGTGCCAGGGCAGACACCAGTGAAAGTGAGAGCAGTGCCCTACTCCCAGCCCCGAATCCCACCAAGCCTCCCATAAATTTTCAAGACCTGGGCCCCTCCCCATGGTTTCCCCCAGCCCTGGAACCTTCCCTCTCCCACCCCCACCCCCCAGCCCTGGGACCTGGCCAGCTCACAGGTCAGCCCCACTCCCCTCGGCCCTGGGCCTGCCCATGGACTGCTAGTTTTACAGTGCCTTGGAGGTGGCAACTGCGCCTTACACAGAAGTACGCCCCTTCTCTAATCCTGGCTTCCTCTCTCCAGGACTCCACCTTTCAGGACAAATATCCCCGTTTTCCATTTTTACCTGCACATCCCAGTACCATACCTGTCAGTCAGACCATGGCCAGACAGCAAGGGCTCCTCATGGATACAGTGACAGGCTAGCCAGATGGCTGCCATGGACTGGGATTTCGGCCAGTGGTGTGTTTCACAGTCAGGTTAGTGGGCAGTGCAGATCCTTTCCAGGCTCTGCTGTTAGCGGTGATGTTGGGAAAGGCACTTGACTAAGTGGCCCTGCTCTTCTTTTAGCTCATCCATTTAGATCTGTGTCTTGACAAGACCCTGTCCCTGACAAGAAGGCGACCTTTGTTACCTATATAAGAAAATCCCAGGAATGTCACTCTGTGAGTCACTTGACACGGAGGATGTGTGCTGAGTCAGCGCGAAATGCTGGGGCAAGCTACAAGCCTGGCTGAGAGCTCCTCTGGTTCAGAATATCACCAGGCTCAGTCATCACTAGGATTCACAGTCACTTGCCATCCAACTTTTAAGTTATAAGCCACTTCCAACTCTCGGAGTTTCCCTTATTCCAAATTGCGCCATCTCCTGTAGCTGTCACTGGGGCTGAAGCCAGCGAGATTCCACCATCTCCCTACAGTCTGTCAGCATGTGGGAGTGAGGCCGCCCTGAGTAAAGTTGGCTGCTGCCTCCCACTGTTTTCAATGAAACTGAAGCCCACAGGGAACATGGCTGCTCCTGTATGGCTCAGGGGGCTGGAGAGGATGCAGGGAGTGTGAGTGGCCCCAGAGACCTGATGAAAGGAGGGTGGGGAGAGTGAGGAGAGCAGGACACTGAGGGCAAGAGGCAGATCTAAGGGATTCAGGGGAATGGGGTGTTGGAGGATGTGAGGGCAGAAGAGAGGCTGAGAGGGGCAGGAGGATGTGGCTGAAGCGGAATGTGGGGGCATAAAGGAGGCAGAGGGGGCTGCAGAGGACAGCAATAGGGGTGAGAGATGAAGGGGATCAGATGGCAGCTTTCCAGCCTGGGGTTGGTGGTGGGAAACAGGGTTCCCTCCATGCAGCCAGGGGAAGGCACTGTTGCAGTGTTTCCAGTTGTTGCAAGCTGATCACAAGTCACAGGATTTCAGTTCCTATAGGAGGAGCTGGTGTGAAGATGCGAGAAGCTCCTCTGATACGCCAGTTTTCAGGGCTGGGCCAACCTGTGTGTGAGACCTTTTGGACTGAGGACACAGACCTGCCCTGTCCCTTAGCCCTGCCTTCATGTATGTCCCTAGAGACGAGAGAGGGTCCTGGGGCAGCAAGAGGCAGGGCAGGGTGAAGTTGTGAAAGTTGTGGTGTAGCGGAGTCCCAGACAGAGAAGTCCCAGGGATGCAGGAGGCAAGAGGTGGGTTGCTATGGTGAAGATAGTAAGAGGGAATGAAGGGCAGTTCCCCCATCTCAGGGGTGAGGAGAGGGCAAGTGCAGACTCCAGCTGAGCAGCCAGGGAGAGAGGTGCTTTTTGTGTCCATTACAAGATTGACGTTTCAACCTAAAATTGGCAGGGGAATAGAGGGCGGTGAAAAACTCCATTGACAAACTTTGGTGAAACATGCTTTAGCAATAAATACAGTATTGGTACAATGGTATACTTAGATTGGTGAAATGCACCTTGGTAATAAGTAAGTTTCATGGTCAAGTAATTTACCAAACAACTGGGAGGGAGGTGAGTATATGAGCTAGGTGTTATGCGCCAAAGCTGTCACACGTGCGGACATTTCAGATTGACAGTGTACATGTTTTGCATTCATATTCTTTCTGTTTTTTTGCTTAATATTTGCTTCCAGCAGTCACTGTTTCTTCACATGACTTTACGAATTACACCCATGTGAAACTTTACGAATTACACCCATGCAATAGCACGGGCTTTCAGCTAGTCTCTAATAATTAGATCCCTATGAATGGGTGGCACAAAGCCACCCCCCACTGCAGGGCAATAAGGTAAAAGTGGCCACAACCACTCCAATTCTTCCAGTTAAGTTTTAAAATAACAACACCTGGCCCTACATAGCACTATGCATTCAAGTGCCTGCAAGCACTTTACACTAATGAAGTTAAGCCGCACAACCACTCACTGAGGTAGGTAATTAATTGTTGTTTCCATTTCACAGATAGGCAAACTCAAGCATGGAGCATTAATTAATACAGCAGCAGAGCTGGAAAGAAAACCCAGGTCTTGAGATTTCTGGTTCTGTGCTCTGACCACTAGACCCTGCCCTCTCCCTTGACAGATGTATCTGAGTAGGGAAGAGTCTTCTTAGCAGTGGAGAACATGCAGCCATTACCTCCGTCACCACCTGAAATAAGATTTAATGGCTGCCAATTAAACAACATCAAGTCCTTCTGCTACCTAAGTAGTACACTTACCGACGACACCAGCATTGATAAAGAACTTTCAGCATGTTAAAATCAGCTGCCAAATATCCACAAAATGCCAAGTTTACAGAGCTGTTGTGCTCCCTTGTTTTCTATACTCATTAGAGACCTGCCCCTTTATCGTTGCCAAATCCAAAAACTTAACTGCCTGCAACAGCGCCACATATACAGCATAATGGGATTCAAATGGTCTGACAAAATCTGCTGGACTCAACGACCTGGGAGGGTACGGCCCATGACAGGCAAGCCTGACACTCTGCTACAAGGGAACCAGAATGTATAACAAAATATCCTCGCACCACCTTGCCCAATAGTAGGAGGGAACATAGACACCAACTTGCCGTGGCACGTTTCCTGAACCCTACTTGTGGAAACAGACTTCAAGTCACAGTCATACTCGAATATGAGTGACAGTCATTATTATTAGTGGAGGATAAGGGGGATCAGAGCTCTGCTAGGACCCTATCCTTGTAGCTGGAGAAAAAAATTAATAGAACTGTCCCAATCTATTGAAGACACTAAAAATGGAGTTAGGAATGTGAGAGAGATAATGGGGTTTCCCTCCATTCTTGGATCCCTTCTTGGTTCCCTATGGGTAGAGGGAGAGTGGAGCCACCCTTTCTAACAGACAGGAATCCTTTGTAGCAACATGGAAACATATAAAGTCTTCTGGGATGTGGGTTCACAGGTGGAATACATGGATGTGAGAGAAAAGAGACTGAGGGGCCAAGCTATAGGGCCCATGTTAGTGGTTCATCAATATGAGTTCTTACCTGAGCAGAATATGCCAATATCATTAGCGTGAGAGCATGTGTGGTTGGGACGGGACATCCTGGGACATTTCTCAAGGACAGACTCATTCCCCACACACTGGAACTCTTCCTTCCAGATCAGATCATGTCCTTCTTCAAAGTGAGCTGTTCCCAAGGTGGCTACAGCCTGTCCACACTGTAATTCATTGCAGATAATAGAGGCCGCGTTGAAACCCAAGTGTGAATCACAGACTGTCTCCCATGTATTTCCATGTTTTACTTCAACACGTCCTGAGCAGGCAGTGTCCCCTCCAACCAGCTGGACGTCAATGCGACCTAGAGAGTAAATACATCCATCGGAGAGTGTTGGTTATGCTGTTATCTCTCCTCTCAACAGCAACAACATTGTTAAATAAGCAGCAGCCCTTTACCCCGTATGCCAGTTCCTGTGTTCGAATAAAAGGGCAAAGTGTGACACTTTGAATAAAAGGGCAAAGTGTGACACTGCTGGGGCGTGGGGGTAGCCAACAACATAATTCTCAGGTGTGAACAGGTTGACACAAAGCAGAGTGTGTGACTGTGTCTGCATGTGGGACTGGATGTAACTGATGAATGTTTGCATGGTCTTAGTACATACTCCCCTGGAATATTGTATTTCTGTCCCTTCATTATAGGAAGGATATTGAAAAACTGGAGAAAGTTCAAAGAAAGAAAACTATTCAATGATGAGGCCTGGAGGCATGGACATGAGCCTGGGGAATAAAGGAGAATAAGGGGCAAGGGACAGCAAGGGCAGGTGCCTCCACAGGGGTGAGATTCAGGAGGGGAGGCACTTATTCATATCATCTGAAAATACTAAAATAATGTTAGTCACTTCAAGTGAAACACAGCACTGAGGCTGTCTATAGTAAAAATAAAATAAATTTATTAACACTACAACATAACTTAAGTGATGCCAAGTAAAAGGAATAAAGTTAGAAAGGGTTGTAAACAAATAAAAGTGAAAACACACATCTAAAAGTCTAAAACCTAATCTAGTAAGGTACAGGCTTTGTTCAAGATGGTTTCTCGAACTTATGGTCAGTTCCCAGAGACATGGTGGCCAGGTTTGTATAATTTTTGGTGGTGCTGAATGCCCATAGGACAGACTGGGGCAACTGCCCTGGGCCCCGCACTATGGGGGGCCCTGCGCTTCAGGGGGACGCGGGGTCTAGGGTGGCCGAGGGGGTTATCCAGGGGCCTGGTGCTGGCAGCAGCGAGCGACCCGGCACCAGCCCACCCTGCCCCACTGGCTCCTGGCGTCACTCAGGGGATGGGGCAGAAGCCAGAAAGAGGTGGGGCGGGGGTTTGGGGGAAGGGGTTGAATGGGACCGGGGCAGGAGTGGAGCGGGGCGGGCTGGGGCTGGTTGACTTGCTGCTGCTGGTGTCAGGCCCCGCTTACCCCTCAGGCTGCCCTGGACCCCACATCCCCATGAAGTGTGGTGCTCCCCAAAGTCTGGGGCCTGGGGCAGTTGCCCTGATCCATCCTATGGACAGGACTGCTTTGGGTCCAGGGCGGCCTAGGGGTTAGCAGGGGGCCTGGCATTAGCAGCAGCGAGCGACCTGGACCCAGCCTGCCCCTGCTCCTCCCGCTCCCTGTCCCCATTCCATTCCATCCCTTCCCACAGGCTCCCGCCCCGCCTTTTTCCGGCATCTGCCCCCTTCCCATAGTGACACCGGGAGCTGGCAGGGTGGAGCAGAGCAGGGTGGTCTGGGGCCGGGTTGCTCACTGTTGCCGGCGCCAGGCTCCCCACTAACCCCTCAGGCTGCCCTGCACCCTGCATCCCCCTGAAGCACAGGGCCCCCCAAAGCGTGGTAAACCCAAACATTGGTGGGGCCAGGCCCACATTCCTAAATATTGATGGAGCATGGGCACCATGGGCCCATATAACTCGCCACCTAAGCCCAGAGACTTCAACCCTGCCCCCTTGGTTGAAGGACCCATCTTTCTCAGCTTGCAAGAGCTCTGGCCTCTTGTGTCTCTCTAGTGATGGGTGACAAAGATGGCTTCTGCCCTTGTTTTTATCTTCCAAGGTTCAATGACCTTGTTTCCAGAGGCAGGATGACCTCATACTGTTCTTCCCTTCCTGTGGATTTTCAATCTCCCTGCTGATTTCCATGTAAATGGGGCTTCCATTGTTTTGATCACACCTTGCTTAATTTAATTGGGGACAGGTAGATAGCTGCCTTCCCTCCTGTCTGGAAGAGAGCTGTTTCTCCATTTGTTTGGACAAACACTTTAAACCATAATATCAATGAGGATCCATAATTGCTTAAATAGTGTTAATACAGACATTAAATGATTATAATAATGATAATAATAATATAGGCTTTAATAAAAGATCTCACTCAATACACTTTCATAATACAGTAATATTGTATAAAATCAGTTGATTTAATTGCTTATCTCTTGAGGTTCAGCTCCCCTGTCTTTATAGCCCAGTAAACCATTGCAATGTTTTCTTTGAAAAGTAAAACCCAGACCAAGCTTCTCTCTCCTGCTGTGTGTATACACCATGCTGTCTCCTCTCCCATTTGTTGTCTTGATAGCTTGGTTTATCTAACATGTAACTAGACCGTCCTTATCTCTGCCTGAGGACTGGCTGGTCAGAGAAGCAAACACATTCCTTTGTCTAGGGCAGACTTGTTTACCAACTCCCTGCAACATGCCTAGTTTAAATACATGTTAGTCATGATTCCAGCCTATGCCCATATCTCCTTATAACCACTTAGTGTATGCAGAGTGCAAGAATATTAATAATCAGTGAGTTATTAGTTTTCCAATATTTTACATACCACCTATCAGATTAGGACATCAGTGAATTGGGGTTCATTGAACCGGCCAGGCCAGCTGAAACTCATGATCTGATACCAGTGAGCCCCTTGCCCTCTGGCATTGGGATGCTGTGAATGTCACACCCACCCACCCTGTCCACCTCCACACCCAATCTCACCACCGCCTCCATCCTTCTCGTGTCACCATTCCTAGCTACAGCTAGGCCAGGAATCAATGTTTTATTTCAGAGAACAAACCAAAACATCAGAAAAAATATTTGGTTCAGCCCTGAAACTGTTTGGAACTCATCAGCAAATCCGAGAAGTCCACTTAGGGTCATACAGAAACAGCGTGTCTCCCCCTTATAACCTTTAGCCCTATGATTAGGGCACTTGCCTGGGATATGGGAGACCCTAAGTTAAATTCCCACTCAGAAGCAGGGACCTGAACTCTGATAATTCATCCCTGCCCTACAGGCGAGTGCAGTAACCCAGGCAATTAACTATTCTGGGCTGGAATGCTCTCACTGTCTCCTGGTGAAGCTTCTCCACTTTGAACGTTTCACCTCTGAAACCCAGGAAATGATTGGTGAAGTATGTGTCACTATTGTGTGGGTCTGAGGGAGGCAGTTTGGAGGGAGGTGAACTGGGGCATGGCTGAAGCAGGGGCAGGAGTCCCAGCTGGGGGTGGGTTGTGGGAGTGGGGGGCACAGCTCATTGTGCGGGTCAGGCTCCATAACCAAGGTAGCATGCAGCCCTGCAGAGATTTGCTACTGTGAAATACGTATACAGCTGCACAAGGTAGGAGACAGCAAGGAGCAACCTCTTACATGTTAGTGACCCACCTGCCATTCACTACTGCTTCCCTCCCTCCTCTGCCTGGTCACTGGTCCTCCCCCACCCCCCGCTACAATCTTTAAATGTTTCTCATAGGGAATTTGAGAAAATGTTTTTCTCCCATCTGCATTTACCTGCTGGTCAAAAAGTGTAACTGCAGATTTATCTGTGATGAGTATTTTATGTTCAGTTTTTATACAGCACATTCCCTCTCCAGTAACAGGGGCTGTAACTCCTTCTTAGGGGTCGGGGACATCAGAACCCTCAGAGCAGAGAGCTCCTGGTAGCTGCAATTACAGCTATATATTGATGGGGAGGGGGAGCACTGTTCTATATTATGTCATGGTGAAAAAAAATCCCTTCCCCAAGGGACAGTGACTATTATGGGGAGTCCAGGAGCTCTGGCTCCACCTCCATGTCTCTCTTCTTGAGGGGATTCATTCTCTGGCACTGAGTCAGAATAAGAACCTTAGTGTCTCTTCTGACACTTCGCCTCTCTGTGGGAACCCACGTGTTGGGCTTGAGATAAAAGAGTTTACTTTAGTTTTCTTTTAATTTATTTAAAGCCTTTTTCTGTCTGATGAATTGTATCCCCACATTCTCTCTCCACCCCTCCCCCTTCAATCACACAGGTAGGTATTGTCCCATTTCACAGAAAGGGAACCTGAGGCACTGAGAAATTATGTGAGATGCCCCAAGGTCAGACAGTAAATCTGTGTCAGAGTCAAGAATGGACTCTCATTGCCGGATTCCCAGTGCAGGGCTTTCAGCATACAGCCATCTGTAAGTACACAGGGGGCACAGGCTGTGTGCTCATGTATTCCATGGTGTCCTCACAACAGCACTGACTGGGCACTGATTATTATGATTTGTTCTTCGTGCCATTCCCAGTAGGGCATATCTGCTGCAGCATGTTTGCTCTCTGGTTTCAGCAGCCACCATCATATTACACCTGCCCCTTGCTCTTTATGGCCCTGAACCAGCAAAGGCACTTAGTCATGGGGACTAACTCACATGCTTAATATTAAGCCCGTGCTTAAGTGCTTGTTGAAAGGGAGCCCACATTAGCTCCTATAGAGTAATGTGTTGATTTAAAGCTGGCCCTGTTGTTTATAAATCCTTTTGTGCTGTAGTCCCTGGCTGTATTTGAGTCCCCTCCCTCCTTTAACCTCATTTTTATATAAGTCTAGATTGTGTAACACTGGTGGGACTCTTACTCCCAGGATTTGTCTCGCAGACTGCACTGGATTCACTGGGACTGTTCCTGTCACAGAGGGCTCAGCAATGGCAGGAAGAAAGATGGGCAACAATTTCACAAAACCATTTCTGTTCTGCTGCATTTTTTTTCTAAATTTTTGACAAAGAGGAAAACATGTGCCTGCTAAGAGTGTCGGTTTCAGCACTGTGAAACTTTTTGGTGGAACCAGAATCCAGCCCGTACATAGGTGTCCATTTGCAGATTTGTAAAGTGCCCCACTATTGAGGGAGGGTGGTAGAGAACTCAGCAGCCATTCTAAGATGCATTTAAATCAAGCTGATAAACTTGCTCAGGGTCTGGTGGGTTATGAAATTTTAACTGGACACAAGTGTGAGGGGAACATTCCTGTTCCACATGGACTCAAATTTAAAGACAAGAAAAGGAAGGTTGTAACCAGCTTCTATTATTAATCTGACCAGACTGTTGACCAGTGGAGTATATGGCTGCCTTCTCTCCCTGCAGAGTGCGAGTTCCACCCATTGTAAGTAATGGGAGTCACTCCACCCTGCTGGGAGAATAGGTCCCCCTGGTTTCACATGACCCAGGCCATAGCAATTTGGTTACCCAGGAATACAAGTGGAATTCTCTGTGGTTTCCCTGTGCTAAAGTTCAGTTTTATCATCAGATCAAACCCCAGCTTCTTCTGTGGGAATTTTTTGGGAAGTTCAGGTAAAACCCCCCACTTCAGAAAATGTCCTTGCTCTGGAATCCTCAGCACCTACCCTCCAAGGCACAGAGACATTGCAGAGCTATCTGCGATCTCTACATACCAGCTGTGATACCACGGTTCATCTCTAGCAAAATATTTGAGGTTTCTAAAATCTGACTTTCATCTTAAGCTTCACCTGTTCACACTGCAGCTACAGAACAGCAGCATCTCAGACTGCAGCAACTCACAGAAACAGGCTGCTACTGAACAGTTCAGTGTCCTGACAAGTGCATCATTCAAACCCTGCTGAAGTTGGCCTGGCACATTTGACAAACACAGGACAATTATTCACAGGTTCCATACACAAGCACAGAGCTGGACAGGCGATGAGGCTGGAAGTCATAATACAGAAGCCCATTTTGCTTTTCTTGTGATTAGTTGACAGGAATTTCTAAGCACTGAAGCCATTAGTTCACTAAAAGCAACTCTGGGCTCACAGTGCCACAAGACTGGGGTATTTTATAAAGCACATGGTCTGGGACTGGGTCAAATCTATGATTATTGCAAATATATAAACCTCCTCTCTCAGAATAACCAATGGGAGAAAATCAGAAACACAAATTTATTTAACCCCAACTGCCTGTTTTCCATTTGCTTCCTTGACTTCTGGAATAAAATACTATTTCTAGTGGATTGAAACTTCCTACTTCTCTTCTGCCCAGCTCATCCAGTGAAATAAAGCAGGCACTTACCCATGGTGTCCTGAAGAAAGAGGAGAAGCCAAAGCAGCTGAGTGGAGAGATGTCCCTTCATTGCCAGACGGACCTGCTGTCCCCTCCTGACACTGCACAGCCAGCACAGAAACACTCTGCCAGGGCTCCTCTGTGTCTGACAAGTGACAACAAAGCAGTGGCAGGGAAATATGTAGATTCAGATGCTGGCATCAGCTGCCAGAAGGAACCAATAGAAACAATATTCACCTTTTTAGACATTATCAGAGAGTTTATCTAAAACTTCATGCAGCTAAAACATCCAATACAATTCTAAAATTCTGGTTGTTACCATATATGAGTGACGAGTCCGCTTCTGATGTCATGTTCGCTTCAGTCTCAGATCATAATGTAACCACCCTCCTTGGCGTAGGGCAGAACTCTGTGAAAAATGATTCTGTCTGATTAGTCAAATAACTGTAGAGCCTAGAATGCTGCTCATTTGACAAACTAATTAAGAAAACAAATGTAGGGAAAAAATAAACCTCTAAAATTGAACCCCACAGAGCTGTCTGTGTCCAGTTGTAGCCAGGCCACTAAAACCACAGAGCTGGGATGTTACCACTGTGGTCAGCTGTATCCAAAGGAGAAGGGAACAACCCCTGCTCCCTTTCTGGGACCCAGACTGCTCAGGGCTTCCTGAACGGAGTGGGAATGGCAGTGGTACATTAGTGGTAGGAGTGTGTCATGGAGCTTCCTTCTTCAGAGGTGACCACCAGTGGCAGCAGAGTCTCAGAGGGCTTCCTGTTCACCGTGTTAGAGCTTGTTCTTAACACTGACTGACTAGGTTCTGAGTGACCATCTCGCATACCGTAGTGTAGGTAGCAACCCACTCCAAGACTCTCTGCCCAGGCCAGTGCTAGGCCTGCCCTGTGTGGTAACTCCAGGCAGCACAGGCTGCATTAGTCAGTCTGGGAGCAAGAGAGAATCGCAGGGTCCTGGCCATTTCTATCCATCTGAATAGAGAATCTCCACAATAGTCCCTGCAGCTGAAACCCGTCTCTTCTCTACAGTGAAGAGCAGCACATCGGCTGTAGGACACGAGCTTCCCAGGAGACAGCAGCAAGTTAACCAGGAAAACAACATAGCTGAAGTCCAGTGGAAAGTGGGTGGGAGAGGTCAATCAAAGGTAAAATCCAGCCTGAAAGAGCCGTGTGTAGGTGTGTGTTAGAACAGGCCTAACAGAGGCGTTTAGAATGGAATCTGAAATCAGCCCATCGCAGCACTTGTGGTACCAAACAGAAAGGCGGCCTTGTAGGAAACAGCTCTAACGCAGGCATCTCTGGCACTTTGCCACCCCTACCTCATGAAGGCCAAAATGCCACAGTATGAGCTCCTTGGCAACAAACAACAAGGTGTTTCCCCAGACAGACGCCATCTTGGTGAGTGGCGAGAACTCTGAATCAGCACAGGAAGTTCTCTCTCATCTGTCCAGAGAGCGGCAAAGACCAGGAACCATGCGGCAGCTACCCCAGCTCTGCCTTAACTACAGTCCTTGTCAGCGGCTCGCCGTGCAAGGGCCAGTAGAGCACAGTGCAGCCCCTGACCCTGAATAACCAGAACACAGGTCAGAGAATTGAAGAACTGACTGATAATGGAAGAAGGTGCTGGCAACGTTACCGGGGGGGGGGGTGAGCTCTCCTTGACACAGCTCTGGTTGGTTTTTCTGCCCCAGGAGGTGAACAAGTGGGGCAGGTAGCCAATCAAAGGCTCAAAGTCATTAGCTGGTTGGAGCTTCTCTTGTTATCTGGAGGCTGGGCCCCACCGCACCAAAATCCCATCACCAGGAGCAGTTTGCCAGAGCTGGCAGCGCTGTGACAGCTGCTCCAAGGCCGTCCCCTTCAGAACAGGTGTCCTGGGTGGGTCCTGCAGCTCCCTGGGGGTGACCATGTCACGTGGCTGATCCCACGAGCAAGACAGAAACAGCCAGGCAGGGATTGTTGCCCAGTGAGTGGCGGGGAAGGGGCTGGGAAAGTCCTGGGGCAGATCTTTGCTCAGAGTCTCGTGTCTGGAGTGGGGCCAGCAGAGCTCCCTGCCCGAGGGAAGCTGGAGCAGAAGCCCGAGGAGTGGGGCAGGCGAGCCTGTGGCTGGGAGATGAGAGGACGGGATCAGAAGTCTGGACATGAGGAGTAGCTGTGGAGACCTCAGAAAGAGCCATGTGGGCTGGTGAGGTCCTGCCCCTGTGTAGCTGGGAGGGGCTTGATGAAGCAGGTGGGAGATCTCTGCTTTGAAGGTGAAGAAGGGGATACATTTCAGTGGTGTAACTGCCCCAAGGCAGGGGACCTTAACTGCCCCCTCTGGGGTGTGAGTACTTATGGAACTGACAGAGGGGAAACAGAGGCAGGATGGCCACATTTCCACACCATGGGGCCTGTGCCAGACTGCACCCTGTGATACTACTGATCTGGGGTTAGAAGTTGGGGGAGAAGTCCTGAAACCTCCTAAATCCCACTGCCAGAAAGCACAGAATATCCATAGGGTCCTGCGACTGGGCTTTCATGACTTACACTGAGTTTAGAGTATGACTTAAACCAGGAAGTGTATTGGCTTTGCCCCACATGGAGAATGCATGTGTGTATGTTGGGGGTGGGGGGAGTAATAAAAATTTTGCTTCTGTCCCTGTGACTAGGTGCTGTAACCATTTCCTGTTGTTTGAATTTCCTATTTACTCCTGTACAGTGATATATTTTACTACTTGCCTTGATTTGCTCCCCCCCAGAAAGAGAAGAAGCTTTCCCAAAGGCCCTGTTAGTCTTGGTTTATTTCACAGTATGGAAAACACCAAAGGGATCAGTATGGAGTCCCCATGAGAGACAGGCACAGTGTGGGGTCCGTGCTTTGCTCCCAGCCTGCTCAATCTGTGAGGAAGGCAGGGAAACTCCTCCCATTTGAAGGTGCAGACCACAGAAAGGAGAACTGGACCATCTCCCCAACACTCACAGCGCAGGAGGGCCAGGGTGCAGGAGGCTGAGGGAATGCAGCAGCACCACCTTCATTGTGACCCCTGAGACGTTCCTATGCTTGACTCTTCGTTTTTGGTCTCTGCTGCTCATGGGGGAGTAACTGAGGCTGGAGGGGGCAGATCCTCTCCCTGTGTCACCATCACCCCGTAATCCTTCAGTGATTTCACTGCATAAGAAACTCCCACCAGGTGCAGGGCTCAGTACAAGAGCCGAGCTGGAACTTCTGAGTCCATCTCTTATTTGGTAGTTCCAAACTCCTGGCCAGGAATCTGGAGGGCCATGGTCTCCAGGACATTGCAGCAGTCTGGCGGGAGTCAGTCCCAGTTCTCTCTCAATCATGGTGTAGTGCGGGGAGGGGACACATGGTGCCAGTAGCTCTCAGTTTGGCTCAGGCCTGGCTATGTCGTGCTCCCCAGCCCAGCTGGGAGGCTGAAGCAGCAGGATCTTTCCTGATGGAATGGAACTATCAGCCTCAGTACAGTACAGGGGAACATGATCATGATCCTGCCCTCCCCCTCCGGGAACAGGGGCCATGACGAGAGGGCAATGTAGGAAAGCAGCCTCAGTGGCTTCCTGGGGCACACACTCCCGTTGGTGCACTGCCTCTGCTCCTAAAGCCCAGAACAGCCTGACCCGGCTCTGAGTTGAGCATTCAGTATCAGTGTGAGGCAAACCCACAGCCAGACCAAGGCTGCTCACTCAGCTGCACTGACTCACCGCAGGCCATTTGGTGCAGAGCAGGTCCACTGCTCTATCTGGAATTTATCTTTCCCACACTGATCCCTCCACACTTGAGAACAGGGTTGCTCTCAAAACCAGGGGGGCTGACAGTTTGCGGAGGTGTGGGGAGTCTCTCCGGTGCATTTCCCTACAGGAGAGGTCACTGGTGATCAACCAAACTGATCCTGTCCATGCTCTGGAACAGGCTCAACATCCTGACCCCGTCCTGGGCACCCTGGCTGGTCTGCAGAATAAAATCTTGGAGTTCTTCTGGCCAGGGTTGCGCTGGGTCTCTCCAGGTGTCCTGAGCCTCTCCCTGGAGAAGGGAAGACAGGGTCTGCTCTTCCTCCGCAGTCAGGTCCATTTCTTCCACCTCCAGGCCCTGCACAGGCTCCTTTCTGGTGCAGTTAGTCCGGCATAGAGCATGTTAGTGCATGCCTTTCTCTGACCCCTCCGAGATCTCCCATACAATTGACAGCTCTTCTATCTCCACCTAAGGGTTCTCCCGCGAGACCTCTCTGAGCTGCTTGTCTTTTACCAGGACCTCCTCAGGACCTAGAAGCTATTCTTTGCAACCAGGTCCATGGCCGCCGCTGCTACAAAGTCACTACCTAGGTGTGCAGGTGGCAGAGTGCCCCTCGGGACACTAGAGGAGGGTCCCAGCTGGTGCAACCAGGATCCCCTGGACTATGACCGGATGGACTGGGTGGACCCCTATGGTGCTCCACCACGCATGGGGTTCTCCACCCCACACATTTCTCGTTGCGTGCTCCAGGAGGTGCGGGCAGCCCTACCACCCACCTCTTGTGTTTTCCTTGAGTGGGTCCTGTGGAAGGTTTCTCCATTTCTGCCCCTCACCCATGGCCCTTAGGACCTTACCACTGGCCCCCTGGCCTGCGAGCATCCCAGGCCACCCCCTATGTACCATGTGAGATGGCTGTGAGATATGCAACTAATCTGTCTCCGAGCAGCACCCAGAAGACAACTATGCACTCATGCTCCTCACCCTTCATTTCCTCACCCTTGTGTCCTGCCTTGACACCAAGTGGTGGGTGTGACGGGTTCCCCCCAGAGTTCCACCTGGAACTGGAGTATCACTGAGCCCTCTGACCCACCAGCCTGGGCACCCTCTCACACTGTACTTCCATGACAAGGTGCAAAGCCTTCTTGCCTTCACTTTCACGAGCATACATACAGGTAGAGACACACACAGCTACAGTTACATGCAGGCTCTCTGACCAGCCCCTGCATAGGAAGGCTACAGCTGAGGCAACTTCAAGCTCCTCATGCACGCACCCTCTCTGGAGTGTAAACCCAAAATTATACCTTCTTACCCTGCACTGGGAACTGTACAGGGTAAGCTCATAAAATTCGCCCCCTCCCTCAATGTGGAGAGGAATATGCAACAGCCTTTGCCCCTGAGTTATGATTCCCACACACTTCACTCCAACTCACTGGTTTCGATAATGCAAAAACAAATTTATTAACTACAAAAGATAGATTTTAAGTGATTATAAGCGAT